CACACACACACACACACACACACTGGAATATTATTCAGCCATGATAAAGAAGGAAATCCTGCCATTTGCGACAACATGGATGGAGCTTGAAGGCATTATGCTAAGTGAAATAACTCACACGGAGAAAGTCTAATACTGTGCGATATCATTTATATGTGGAATCTTAAAAAAGGCAAACTTGTAGAAGCAGAGAGTAGAATGACGGTTACCAGGGGTTGAGGGGTGGGGAAAATGGGGGCGATGTTGGTCAAAGGGTACAAACTTCCAGTTAGAAGATGAATAAGTTCTGCGGGTCTAATGCACAGCATTGTGATTATAGTTAAGAATAATGTGGTATATACTCGACAGTTGTTAAGAGAGTAGATCTCAAATGTTCTCACCACAAAACGGAAATGGTTATTATGTGATGTGATGGAGGTATTAGCTAATGCTACTCTGGTGATCATTTTACAATATATAAGTGTATCAAATCAACACATCATACAGCTTAAACTTACACACTGTTATATGTCAATCATATCTCAATAAAGCTGGGAGAAATTTGGCTAAAGATTTTAATAGGATCTTAAAATATACATAAATGGTCCATAAGCACATGAAAAGATGATCAACATCTTTCGTCATCAGCAACATACAAACTAAAATCACAATAAGTTACCACTACACACCTACTAGAATGACTAAAATTAAAAAGACTGACAATACCAAGTGTCAGCGAGGATGTGAAGCCACTGGAACTCTCATACATTTTGGTGGAAATCTAAAATGACAGCCCCTTCGGAAAATAGTTTGAGAATTTCTTAGAAAGATAAGCATAAGCCTCTTACAACGTTAAGAAGAGGAAGGGGTTCCCTATTCTTAAAAAAGGGGTATGAGGAGGGGCTGGCCCCGTGGCCGAGTGGTTAAGTTCGCGCGCTCCGTTGAAGGCGGCCCAGTGTTTCGTTGGTTCGAATCCTGGGCGCGGACATGTCACTGCTCATCAGACCACGCTGAGGCAGCGTCCCACATGCCACAACTAGAAGGACCCACAACGAAGAATATACAACTATGTACCGGGGGGCATTTGGGGAGAAAAAAGCAGAAGGAAAAAAAAAAGATTGGCAACAGTTGTTAGCTCAGGTGCCAGGCTTTGAAGGAAAAAAAAAAAGGAAAAGTCCTCGCAACTGTGCAGTGTCCCTTTTGCTGGAAATTTACCAGCAACAGGGAAATTCAAAAAGTCTATTAACAAATTATTAGAATGAACAAGTGATGGATATGAGGGTCAGTACATGGCTGAAGAGAAGGTGTGCGAGTGTGCTTTCTTAATCATTTCTAATCTCAGAGGAAAAGCTTTCAACATTGCACCAATAAGAATGATATTATGTGTTTTTTAGATCCCTTCTATTACTATTTTTGTATTTTTATCAGGAACATATGTTGTTTTATGAAAGAAACTTTCTGCATCTCTGTAGATATATTTTGGTAACAGAGTGTATTAAATTGATTGCTTTCTTGGATTAAACTCAACTTGGTCATAATGTATTACCCTTTTTATATTTTGCTGGATTTGATTTGTTAAAATTTTATTCCAGAATTATGCACATACATTAATGATGAGAAAGGCCTGGTATTTTCTTTTATTGTAAGGGGTTTTTTTTAGTCAGATTTTGGTATTGAGTTTTTATTAGCCTCATCAAATAAATTAGTGTTTCCTATTTTTCTATTCTCTGATAGAATTGTTAACTATATGCTAGAATTCACTGTGATGTTACATGGACTTACAGATCACTTTTTATGAGGGTTTTTATCTACAAATTCAACGTTTAAGTAGTTCTAGATCTACTCAAGTTTTCTATTCTTGTGTCAAATTCTCTACAAATTTGTCCATTTCACAGAAATCTTCAATTTCAATGGTATAATTTGCTGATGTATGATATGTTTAATGTCTGAAACATTTGTAGTGATGGCCAATTTTTCATCCTTTCATTTGTAATTTGAGATGATGCTCTACTTTCTTGGTCAGCCTCAACTGGGCTTTCACAATTGCATTATTTTTATTTTTTATTCTTTCTTTTTCAAAATTCTTTTTGTTCTATTTATTTTTTCAAAGAACAACATTTCAATCCTTTCTTTATGTTTATTTCACTCATTTGTAGTTTTAAAAATACTTTTCTTTGATTTTATTTCCTATTCTTTGTCTAACCTCAAATTAGATTATTCATGTATGATTTTTAGCCCTTAAAGTTTGGCTTTAGCTGCATCCCAAAAGTTTTGGTATATAGCATATTTATTATCGCTCAGTTTAAAATACATTTAGTTTATATTGGAATCTTTTTTTAATGGATTTTTAAAAGTAAATTCCTTCACAGTTAAACATAATGGAGTAATCATTATCTTTTTATTACTGATTTCAAGCTTAATTATATTATACCCTGAGAATGGACTGTGAATTGTTTTAGTTCCTTGAAAGGTGTTGGTATTGCTTTTTTGGTCCAGGATATGTTCAATTTTTGTAAACATTCTATGTGTTCTTGAAAAGATGTATATTCAACAGTTGCTGGGTACAGCATTCTGTATATGTTCATTAGTTTTAGTTTCTGATAGGTGTGTCAAGTCTTCCAAATACTTACTGATATTTTTGGTCTGCTTTGTTCTGACGAATGTTAAAATTTCGCATTTTGTGATTACGTATTTTTCTTTGTACTTCTATCTGTCCTTGCTTTAAATATTTGAGGATATTTATTAGGTGCACACAAATTAGATTTGTGTTACATTCCTCAAGAAGCAAATTTTTGTAAGTCATTTTTGTGTCCCTTAATAGCTCAAGTATTGCTTTTTTTCTAAAGCCAAATTTGTCCAATATTTCTACTGTTATTCAAAAAGTATAGAAGTAAATTGATGCTTGAGATGATATTAACTTTGTCCACTAAGATTTTAATTTTCTTCTGCCAGATTCCTGAGGGAATTAGCAACAGAGGATCACCATAATACAATTTCAGGGACAATTTGAGGGTCTATTTCAGTATTAGAAGTAATTTTCAGATGTAGACCTTTTGACTTGTTTTTGTTTGGGGGGGGGCGGGGCAATATGGGGCAGGAAATCACATGATCAATGGTTCCTATCATTTAAGCCACTGACTTAAGAAAAATATTTGTGGTCATCTCTCTTTGTTTCCCTACACAGAGAGACTACTTATCCTGGATTTGAGATGGCCTCAATTGGACATTGTCTGCCAGAGTCCAGCCCCAGCGGAGTCCAGGTTCCTGAGGGAGAGACGGAGTCAGCGAAGTGAAAGGAGGGGATGTGAGACTTGAGTTAGTGCAATCAAGTCCGCTTTACTGAGTTTTCAGGATCGCTTATATATTTTTCAAAGAGAGTGAAAAGACAGTTCTTACAGGTGTTCTCGTGAGATAAAGAGGCACAGAACAGATGCGTAACAGTTTTTGCACGTATTATCTTTTTGAAGTACAGAAGTTAACGACTAGCTTCTCTTAGAAAAATAACCTCAGCAATTATTTATTATTTATTGCTTTTTGGAGAAAACTTCTATAACATTTTAACAGAAAGCAAGTCAAGAATAATATATAGATACTTCTTGATCATCCAATTAACCAGCAAACTTGGAAGGACGATGCATATATATATTTAGACAAAGAACTGGAGGAAGAAGGAAATATTAACCAGATGGAGGCTACGAACCTAATTCGACATCTTATCTGGGCAGGATTCCTTTCTGATGGTCTCAAAAGGGACTGTGTGCTCCTCCATTAATTAACTGCATCAAACGAAATTAGCTCTCAGAAAATTATCTTGAAAGTTACCTGCACGTGGTCACATTCTTTTACTATATTTAATTCTCCCGGGAGGTAGTGCCTCCCAAGCAGCCACCCAAAGGAGTGAAAACTGGCGGTTAAGAAAGTAAAAGGAATGAAGGGCAATTAGAAGCAGCACAGGTTTCAGAACTATGTGAGGGGCCGGCCGGTTATTCTTCACCAAGGGGCGACCCTGCACCCCTCGGCGTTAATCGGATGGACCCTGTCAAACAGCCGATCAAATGATGTAGCCACGGCTCCCGGCAGTTGTTCAAATATTTATAGCTCCTCCTTTGTAGTCTACTTCTGCTCCCGTTTAAAAAAATTTTCATAATGAAACTAGAAACACATTTCGTTTCTGTCTAGGATAAAAGTGGATAGCTTCGCTTTCTGTATTTTTTTGTCAGCTTCATGACTTGAGCCCTCACTTCACTCTCTTCTCCTTACTGAATAATCAAGGATTTCTTAGTTTTAACTGCTTTGCTGAATTTTAAGACACTTTCACAGATTCCTGATAAGAGCAAGAGTAAATGATGTCGTTCCTTGATTTGAACTCGAAGAAGAAAAGTTTTCAAGATAGTATATGGGGTGGATCCTGTTCCATACTACACTATTTTCTCCAATTCTTTGTCAATGCAAGAAAACTAGGGTGAAGGCAAAGCGGAGAATTTTGCTGCTTTTGTTTCATGGTTCTTGGACACACGTGAATCCAGGCCCAAGTAATAAAGAAGGCTTGCCTGGCGCAGCCCGTCTTTTTACGATCTCTACTTCTGGCTCACATACGCCACTCCTTTACAATTATTTTCCAATTTTTTTCCTATTTCCAACTTCCGTCACGTGTAAAAGGGAACAATGAAACAAAGAAAACGCAAGCCCACTTTTACAAGCAACCCATGGTTTCTTTCATTTCAAAATGAAAATTGCAGGCTGGCGGGAAACTCAACCCTACAGAGAATTCTGGAACGTGTAGTCCAGACGCTTCTCGTGATTGGGGCACTTCCGCTCCGGGAAAGCGCGAACGCATTAGATGTTCAGCTAAGGAAACAGGAGACGATAACCGAGCGCTCCGTACGTTTCGACGCATTTCGGGAAGAATACAAAGCCCGCTTCTCTGGTGGATTCTGGGAAATTCTATTCAGGCCGCGGGATGGGACAGGCACTTCCGCCCAAGGGGGCGGGGCCGCGGGGCTTGTTCCTCTCGGGCATGCTGGGAAGTGTAGTCCCGGAGCCCCGCGAAGTCGGAGGCGCTTCCGCTGCAGGAGGTTGAGCTCGCGGCCTTCGTTTCTCCCGGGGAGGTGAGTGAGCCCGGGCACCCCGCCGCCTTTTTTAACTTTTCTGCCCTGGTCGTGGCATCGGTCGGGCCCGGCGCTCGGTCTCGGGGAAGGAAAGCGGCGGCCAGCGGCAGCGGGCGGGGTTGAGGGGCGGGGGCAGCCGCTTGCCTTCCCCTCCCCGGAGCCTCCGCGTTGGGGGCGGTTCGCGAGTCCCGGGGTTGGAGGCGGACGGGGATCGGGCAGCGTCGGAGGGTCTCCCGGCTTCTCCGCTGCCTGGCCCGCCTTCCCCGACACTTTCCACTTGCTCTGTCACTTCCTAGCGGTAGAACGTTGAGTGAGAGCTTAATCGTGCTGTGCCTCAGTTTCCCTTTCTGTAAAAGGGTCTGTTAGGAGTACCTACCTTATACATTGGTTGGGGAAATAATGGTATAGGACAAGTGAAATGTTTAGAACAGCTCAGGCGTGTGGCAAAGATGTTAGCTGTTAATATTGATACTATTATAGTAATCAGAAAAGCTTCCGTTTCTCTGGAAGCTCCTCGCAGTGCCACTGGCTCTTCCTTCCCATCCCTGCGGGAAAGAAGGCTGTGCTGGGCTACCTCTGACCTCTCTTGAAAGAGAGTGCGTCACTCACAGATAGCCTCTGTGGTTTTTCCAGGACCACGGACACGATCGTGGTCTCTGCAGCCTCTTCTCCTCCCCCTGCCCTGTCTTCGGAAAGAGGGCTGCAGAGAGGAGGGGGGAGCCCCGCCGCCCAGGACTCTGCATTCGTCTTCCGTGTCTGCTCCGAGTGGTGGAAGAAACACTAGCAAATGTTTCTGCTACAAAGGTGTCCAGTTATTGTTCAGTAATTGGGAAGATACGTAGAACGTGTACAGGGCAGGAGTAATAGTCATAATAGTTAAACCTTGAGTGCTGAGTATCAGTTTAAGGGCTTTATAAAAATTAGCGCGTTCACCTTCACAAGGCCCTGTGAAGTGAATACTGTTATCACCTCTATTTTACAGGCGACAACATGGAGACAGGGAGCCAGGGAGCGTAAAGTACTTATCCTGCAGTCACCGTGCTAGGAAGAGCAGGCGGACTCGAGTCTAGGGCTTGTGTTCCTTAGGTCTTTGGTGTCACAGTTTAAACATCCCCAAATTGGAGTTAGGAGACAAAATAGGAAAACAATATTCAGCCATAGGAACCTGGCTGCGGAGGATCATTTGGGATCAAGTTATGGAGGTAGGCTGGAATATTATTGTAGAAGATTTTGAAAGCAGGGTTCGTGAGTTTGGACTTCTTTATAAAATTTTGAGGGGCCGCCCGGTGGTGCAGCAGTTAAGTTCGCACGCTCCGCTTTGGTGGCCTGGGGTTCGCTGGTTTGGATCCCGGGTGCGGACCTACACAGCACTTGGCAAGCCGTGCTGTGGCAGGCGTCCCACATAAAATAGAGGAAGATGGGCACGGATGTTAGCTTGGGACCAGTCTTCCTCAGCAAAAAGAGGATTGGTGGCAGGTGTTAGCTCAGGGCTAATCCTCCTAAAAAAAATTTTTTTTTTGAAAACATTCTCACTTAATTTTATTTCAAACAATATTTATAGTTCATATTCTGATTATAGAAGAAATGCAAGTTCATTGTAGAGAGTTCAGAAAATATAGAAATACATAAAATAAAAACATGAATTAACCATAATACTAGGATAGGATATAGATAATTATTAACATTTTAATGCCTTTTTGTTTAGCAATTGCTAAATCTTTATCTATGTTTTATGAAATTGTTATCAGACTATTCGTAGTTACTCCCTAACTCTTTACTTTGGAAATTTCCAAACACATCCAAAGTATAGTGTCATGAATTCCTACGTAACAATCACTCCACTACAATCTTTGCTAATCGTGTTGCTTTTTTTCTCTCACTGCAGACACATTCTTCCCCCTGAGTTTTTTAAAGCAAACTCTGATGTTGACCCAGCAGACTTAAAAATTAGCTGTCATCCGTGGTTTATCCATGAGGACCAGGAGAGGCGAGATTGTGTTAGTTCCCTAGGGCCATTGTAACAAAAACCACAGACCGAGGGTCTTCAACAATGGGAATATGTTTTCTCACAGTTCTGGAGCCAGAAGTCCGAGATCAAGGTGTTGGCAGGTTTGGTTTCTTCGAAGTCTCCCTCCTTGGCTTCTAGACGGCTTCCTTCCTATGCTCTCACGTGGTCTTTCCGCTGTGTGTGTACGTGCCCCCGCCGTCCCTCTCTGTGTCCACATTTCCTCTTACCGGCACACCAGTTAGATCGATGTAGGGTCCACACTAACAACCTCGTTTTAACTTAATCACCTCTTTAAAGGCCCCATCTCCCAATACGGTCACATTCTGAGGTGCTGGGGAGTTAGGGCCTGAACATATGGGTTTGGGGGGGGGGGGTCATAATTCAGCCCATAACAGAGAGATTAACAGCAACTCTGGTTTCACTCTTGGCGACCAGGAGAATGTAGCTTGCGTGAGAAGGTTAGAAAGAGCTGCAGTTAGAGAAGGAGGATGCTGACTTTTTTTGGCTCCTTTGGAGTCACCCTTGCCACTGGCATGGAACCCTGGGTTCTTCTCTCTCTCCTCTTAGGCTTTGGGGCCCGCTGCTTCATGGACCTTGTCGTCTTCTCCTCGGAGCGCTCAGCACGAGGTCGGCCGAGGGAAGTTACTCAGTGAGTAAGTGTGATTCGTGTAGCTGTTCAAAAGGGTGTGACAGCCTGGGAGTAGAGAACAAAATAGAAATACTGTCCGTGTCCGTCTTCCTTGTCTTTTATCTCGCTTGCTTTCAGTGGGCTGTAGAATCCAGCAGCTTTTTCAGAGAATTCCAAAGTTGAGGTATCATTATGCCTCATATTGTCATGATCTAAAACAAATCCCCTTAGAAACAATTCAGCGTTAGTGCTCAATTTTTTGTTTCTTGGTTGGGGATCATAATGGGGATGTGAGAATAGCTGACATTTGTTGGGCACCTCTCATGACTCAGAATTTCCGATGCTTTCTGTCTGCTAACTCATTTATTTTTTCATAACAATGCTATTATTCTCATTTTTAAAGTGAAGAAACAGGCGCAGACAATTGAATAAATGACCTGGTGGCACCGTCAGCCAGGGGCAGAGCCGGGATCAAACCTCAGCAGTTAGATTTGAAACGTAGCTCTAGCACCCTGGCTGGATAACCTTGGGCAAGTTACTTGACTTCTCTGTGCCTCAATTTTCTTGCCTGTCAAGTAGGGATAATAATGTCAATACCTACCTCCTGAAGTTTTTGTGAAGATCAAAAGAGATATGATACGTAAAGTGCTTGAAACTGTGCCTGACACATAGTCAGTCTTCTCTGTGATGCAGACCAGAGTTGTCCTTTATCTGTTACAGGTGAGTATGCAACATGGGAAATGCACCAAGTTGTTGAAAGAACAAAAGGATATTTTAAGGTGTTCCCCGCCCCCTTCAGCTTTTGATACTTCGCTTCTATTATACACTTGAACCAAAATGAATAGTTTCTGGGGCTAGCCCTGTGGCACAGTGGTTAAGTTTGCATGTGCTGCTTCGTTGGTCTGGGGTTCGCCAGTTCAGATCACCCGTGTGGACCTACGCACCGCTTAGCAAGCCATGCTGTGGCACGCGTCCCACGTATAAAGTAGAGGAAGATGGGCACGGATGTTAGCACAGGGCCAGTCTTCCTCGGCAAAAAGAGGAGGATTGGTGGTGGATGTTAGCTCAGGGCTAATCTTCCTCAAAAAAAAAGAAATGAAAAGAATAGTTTCTGTAATAACCATTGTTTAAACTTACAGCTAACACTAATTTGCTGTCTTTTGAACCTAGAGAGTCCCTGGGGGATAATTAGATGGTCTCTATGCACTATCCAATATGGTAGCCATTAGCCACGTGTGACTCCTAAGTGCTTGAAATGTGGCCAGTGCTAATTGAGATGTGCTGTAAGTGTGAGCGACACAACAGATTTCAAAGACTTAGTATGAAAAAAGAATGTAAAATATCGCAGTAATATTTACATTGATTGAAGTAGGAGTGATAATAATTTGGATACATTGGGTTAAATGAAATGTTGTTACAATTAAACTCACTTGCTTCTTTTTACATTGTTTAATGTGGCTACTAGAAACATGTAAATTGCCCATATGTCCTCCTGTGGGACAGCCCTGGTCTAAACAGAAGCCTCCCTTTTTACTCTAAGAATTTGCTTCCAGGCGTTTACAAGTCGTTCTTCCCTCTTAGACCTCCAACAGCCTCTCATGATGGAGAGACGCATGGAGTTGGTATCAAGAGGCCTGACCAGGGGCTGCCCCCGTGGCCGAGTGGTTAAGTTCGCGCGCTCCGCTGCAGGCGGCCCAGTGTTTCATTGGTTCGAATCCTGGGCGCGGACATGGCACTGCTCATCAAACCACGCTGAGGCAGCATCCCACATGCCACAACTAGAAGGACCCACAACGAAGAATATACAACTATGTCCTGGGGGGCTTTGGGGAGAAAAAGGAAGAAAATAAAAAAAATCTAAAAAAAAAAAAAAAAGAGGTCTGACCAGCCCTGCCCCTGGCTTCCCGGGTGTCCTTGGGTAGTTCAGTTAACTCCTTGAGAGGCAGAATGGAATAACGTAGTGGTTCTCAAACTTTGGTCATATCAGAATTGCCTAGGGAACTTGGTGAAAAGTTCCAGGCATTTTATTATATCAGTGAGTCTGGGCTTCTGTATGTGTTTTTTTGTTTGTTTGTTTGGGGTTTGTTTTTTTGTTTGTTTGTTTGGTGAGGAAGATTGGCTCTGAGGCAACGTCTGTTGCCAGTCTTCCTCTTTTTGCTTGAGGAAAACTGTCCCTGAGCTAACATCTATGCCACTCTTCCTCTATTTTGTATGTGGGACACCGCCACAGTGTGGCTTGATGAATGGTATGTAAGTCCACACCTGGGATCCGATTCCAAGAACCCCTGGCCGCTGAAGCAGAGCACATGAACTTAACCACTTTGCCACCGGGCCAGACCCTGGGCTTCTGTGTTCTTTGTCAGCTCTCTGGGCGATTCTGGTTCTGTTCTGATCACGTCTTATTCACCCTATTTAGGAAGGAGGAGCCCCTGTCCTAAATAGTATGAGATGGCTGAACACATGACACCCAACACTGGACAGACGAGAGTGGCAGTAATCTCTTAGTCTCACACGTACTCACAGCCTGTGGGAGGAGAACACTGTACGCCGTGGAGGGCCATCTGGGGATGCATTCAGGAATAGAAGAACCAGCAGGGGCCATGGTAGGTGGGCTGTGGAGTGACAAGAGGGTAGGGTGACCCTTGGTTCCCGCAGGAGGACGTGATTGGTTTGCATGAATAATTTCGCAGGCTGGAGGGAGCTGGACCCTCTTGGGTTAAGGACCGAGTTGGGTGCGGCTGGACCAGCTGATAGGGTGAGTTGTGGCGGATCTTAATTTATAAAGGTGACCGAGTGACAACATAGAGAGGCTAATGCCTTTGAGAAAGAAGACTTTTAATACTTAACGGTTACCCAGAAATGAGAGGCACAGCATGCCGCGCAGGGTCACACGAAGCCGGTCACACGAAGCCTGTCACATGCAGGGGTCAGGAAGCAGAGAGAGAGGAATGGGGACTATGTCTTTATGACCACAGTGGCAGGAAGTAGCTGGATGGAGGCATCCCGTATTGACTCCTGAGAACAGGCAGGTCGGGGTCAGTAGAGGGGGAGTTATATTATGACTCTCATGTGCCCTCAAAAGCGGGCTTGCAGGGAAGTTGTAATTAACTTTGCTCAATCGTCTGGCCCCGTGATTCAACAGACCTATGGAGAAATTAGGAATAACGTGTCTAATAGCCGATACGGAATCTGAAAATGTGGTTAATACATAGGGAACTAGCTCGGTGGGGAGTCCTTCCCCCAGGGGCAGGGCTGTATCTGGAGAGAGCAGAGGATCTCATGAACTCATGTCTAGGCCTTTGAGGCCTGGTGAGGCTGGAAGATGTCAAGGCAGCATGTGGAATTTCAGGCCTTCCCATACAGATGCACACAGTTTGAGAACCACTGCATGCTGGTCAAGTTATGGGCCCAGGGGTCAGATGGCCTGGGTTCATTGCCTAGTGCAGTGTGCCGACTGGACAGTGAAATCATGGCGGTCGGAGGAGTGTAAAAACGCAGATGTCAGCAACCCACATCCACAGATTCTGATTAATTAGTTGTGGATTGAGGAAGAGCATTTTTTTTAAGTTTCCCTGTGCTGCCAGAGTTGAGAACCACTGTGCTTGTAGGTAAGGCTCTGGGTCAAAATCTTGCCTCTTCTGTTGGCCTCTGGTTAATCATGAACCAGGTTACTTAACTTCTCTGTGCCTCAATTTTCTTGCCTGTAAAATGGGGATAGTCATCGTCTCCATCTTTGGAGTTGTTAGGAAGATGACTTGAGATGGTACATGCAAAGCTTTCATGCCTTGGTAGCTAGTAAGTGAGCTGCCATCAATATCAGCTGCTGTAATTATTATTGGGAGTATTTTATGGCTGAGGCTGCCTTGTGGGTAAAATTAGGTACTGAGAGTTGATCTTGGTACTCCCTCTGATCTTAACAAACCTTGGTTCTCATCCCATTTGTTAGGATCAGAGAGAAAGAGAAGCTTGCAATTCGTGTTTACTTTCTTTAATTTTTTTTGCCCTTAGGCAGAGGTTAACCTGTTGGAGTAAGTGGAAAAGTTAGAGGTGAACACCTGGAGTCCTTAGTCCGTCTGAAAATATCCAGAGGGCTGTTTTTGACTGATGCTCCTCAAATGGTGACCCAGGGACCAGGTGACCAACAGCATCAACATTACCTGGAATGTTGTTAGAAATGTAGATTCTCCGTCTGCATCCTTGGTCTTCTGATTTAGAATTTTTGGGGGGTGAAATATAGGCACCTGCATCTTCACAGAGTCCCCAGTCGATTCATGGAACATTAAAATTTGAGAGGCACTTGGAGAGAGAACGGAGTCGTGGCTTTTTAACAAAAAATATTTTCTGTTCCTCGCTGGCTAAGTTACACATCATTCAGGTATCAGAGATGTGCATGGCTCCCTCTCCCCTGGTGCAGGTCTTGCTCAAAGGTAAGAGAATCCTTCCGGGACAAAAACTTAGTCTGTAACAGCCTTCCTTCCGTCTCTTCTCCTCCTTTACCCTGCCTTCTTGTTCTCAGAAGCATCCCTCATTACGTTACTGGCTTGGTACTGCCCTTGTACTCATCGTAGCATCAGCTCCGTGAGATCCAGGTCTTTGCCTGCTTTGCTCGCTGTTGTCTCTCTCACGTTGAGGATCCTTTGCTGGCACAGAGTAGGCTGTCAATACTTCTCTGTCGACTGAATGATCAAGGTGGTGAATACGAGGCCCTGATCCACGTGGTGTGTCCGTCAGCCTTCATTACAGCGGCCATTCTGCAGATCTTGGTTGAGTTCCTCCCAAGAGCTTGCCACAGCATCCCAGGGGTCGGGAACACGGCAGGAAACAGGACTCCCTGTGGGCCAGATGTGATGCGTATAAATAAGCAAAATACCTAGCAGGATGTTCCAGAGGGATGTGTGCTAAAGAGGAAAGAATTAAGCACGGATGGAGGATAGGAAGTGTTGGAATGTGATTAGGAGAGTGGAATTTTCTATAGGGTGGCCGGGGAGGAGCTGTCTGAGGAGGTGACATTTGAATAAAGAGGGGAATGCTGCTTGGTGTGGCCCTCCTAACAGGCTCTCTGGCCCCAGCCTCTTCCCCCTCAAGTCTCCCGTCTGCTGGGAGAGTAATCTCTTTCCCTCCTTCCTCTCCCTTCCTGCAGTCCTTGGCTGCCCTCCCGCTGACTTACAGGTAGAACTGGGCCTTGCCCATCATCATGGTTTGAATCCTGCCGTCCTGCCCCTCTTTTTCTGCCGCTCATTTGTCTTCACTCAGGTGAGAACTCTCGCTCTCCTGCGGCTTTCCAGTGATTGCCTCTCTTTGGCTGATAGAACTCGGCCGCCCTCCAGGGCTGGGATCAAGCCGTGTTGATGTAGGAGCCGCTCCAACCAAGCGTGGGCCTCGGAGCCCGTACCTTGTGCTTCGAGAAAAGCCCGTCCCCTCTCTGCTACTTAGTAATGTGTGGCCTGATTGTCAATTTCCTAATCACTAGGCTGTGAGCAACTGGAGATGGGGCAGTTGTATCTCTCTTAGTAAGATTCCCCTAAGTGTTCACTGAGTGAAGAAACTCATGTATTTAATGAAGAATTAATAAATGAGCCTGTCTGGTACTAACTGTGCCAGCAGTGAAATAGTCGTCACTCTCAACATTTCGATGGACACATTCTGTGGCTTTGGTGACAGGAGTCCATGTAGGCACAGACTTTGAAGAGCAGAGAGCATCTTCCGAAGAGGGTACTTTGAAAAATCCAGAGGCTCTTTTCCTTCCGAAGATGACCTTGATTTTGCCCAAGGACAGCAAATATTGTGAAAGACCTAGAGGGAAAACTTGGAAATAAAACCCTTGCTCTCCTCCCAAATCCTCCCAACTGGGGTCCGCCTCAGAATTTTACAACCCAGAGAGACCTTAGACCCGCGCGTCTCGGCTGCCCGCGTGCTTCTGCCGGAGGGTGGCCTCGTTCCTCCGGCCACTGACACTGGCTGCCGGGAGTCTGCAGAGTAGTTACTGGCGTACAGGCACTGCTTTAGGTGCTTGGCATATAAAGGTGTAGGGGTATCAATCACAAGACGGACAGCTGACTTACTAATCGTCCGGTTCCCCGGAGGTGATGGAAGGATCTCCCTGCAAAGCTCTCTTACTGAGCGGACGTTGCTGGGCAAATACGGAGTCAGAACAAAGCGAATGACAAATTCCAGGGGCATTTCTTCTAAGATTGGGACCTTCTGCATTGCCCTTTTCCATCCCAGGGTTCTTCTGTCTGAAGTCAGATGACTAATAATAATGAACTAGTAAATCAGTCAAACAATAATTAACCAGCTCATTATAATCTCTTAACTTGGGTGTTTTACTCTCGATTTCATCCTCCCCACGATCAGAATCATACCCTGAGAGCCACAGGGGATAACTTGTAGTAGGCCACTGTGTGTGGTGGGGGCGGGTCCTTCACTGCGCAGGGGCTCTTAGCTGGAGGGGTCAGTGGTTTCTGGAATCCAGCCCGTGCTCTGCTTATCAGGCCACCCCAAGGAAGGGGCTCCTTGACTATCTCAGGTACGGCGGCCGGATGCGTAACTTGTATTGAATGCTTAAGCGGCCCAGCACTGTTCTGGATGTTTTTAGTCACCTAGACTGACTCACCTTCCAGTGAGCTTTTATGAGGTTATTATTATTGTTGTTGTTCTTATTATCCCCAATTTATAGATTGGACATTGAGGCACAAAGTACCACCAAGTTGGAGACGCCAGCATTTGAATACCGGTGGTCTGATTTCAGAGCGTGCACCCTCATAATTCTGTTCTCTTCTCCCTCAAGCAGATCCTTTGGCGTCTTCTCCCGGTTTCTCTGTGTCTTTAATCCCAGCTCCTAAGCTCTCATTTCTCTGTCCATGAGACCTGACTCCCATCTGCTTGTTTTTGTCTTTAGAAGCAGTAGAGAGACAAGATCTAGAATACTGCCTCTGACGGGAGGGCTGCCTTCAGGTTCCTGCCTCTTGACCTCACCAAGCCTCAGCTTGCTCATCTGTTAAATGGGAACAGCATTGTCGTCATCATGAGTTATTGAGAAGTTCCTAAAATGCCAGGTACGTGCCAAGGGCATCGCATAAATTAGCACATTCCTTCCCCACAATCATCCTCTGACTAGCATTCTGTTTTTGACTCCTTGTTATAGCTGAGGATAGGCACAGAGGTGTAGACCGGACCAGGGTCACACGACTGGTGCAGCAGTAGCATCTTTAAAGGTACGTAGGAGTTAATGAATGCCAAGTGCTTCACAAGGTCCCTAGAATGTTCTAAGTGCTTATTTAATGTTAAACATTGCCATTTTTGTTGTTTTTATCGTTACTATGATGACTATACTTGTTAATTTAAATGACATACCGATTACCTAGCTTATGGTTAAATAAATCTTGCAGAGTCACAGGTTTTTATTAATTTCTCTTCGTCTCCATGATAGTGTCTTTTTGAGGCCCTACTGTGAACAAGTAAATTTGGAAAGATTTTATATCTTTTAAGAAACAGTCATCCATATAGTCAAATTCATAGAGAGGGAAGGAATAATAGTTATGAGGAGCTGAGGGGAGGGGCACTGGAGAGGTCGTGTTTAATGGGGACAGGGTTTCAGTTTGGGATGGTGAAAAAGTTCTGGAGAGGGGTAGCGGTGATGGTTGGCCAACAATATGAATGCACTGAATGAACTGAACACCTAAAAAGGGTTAAAATCATAAATTCTGTTATGTATATTTTACACAGAAAAAAACCAGTCATCCTTGTAATCTTAAATGTAAAGGCATCAAATTAAGAATGACAAACCAAGAGAGAATAAGAGATATTTCAGAGGTTAAGGGTGATTTTCATATGACAGAGCAACAGCGTCTGAAGTTTCCATTGATAGAAACCATTTATGAGGACGTGTTTTATGGTGCTGAATATTACCTGCTTTTCTACTGCTGCTGAGACATAACACACTCTGAAAGTGTTCTTTGGTCTTTCTGCCTATTCCTTTAATCCTCACAACAGGCCTGTGAGATGGGCATTGTTAATCCCTCCATTTTACACATGAGAGAATCGAGGCACAGAGATATTAATCATTTGTCCAGTATTTCACAGCCAGTGAGTAGCAGTGCCGTGGGCCTAGGCATTTGGCCCCAGAGATTACTCTCTCAAACCGGCTCCTTTGCTCTCAATTTCTACCCTCCCTAGAATCAGAATCATACCAAGCGCTACGTGAACTTGTTTCAGGCCACTGTGTGTGGTTGCGCAGGGCCTTTCGGCTGGAGGGGCCAGTGCTCTCTGGAATCCAGCCCCTGCCGTGCTCGTCAGGCCACCCCGAGGAAGGGGCACGGATGCTGTTTCACGTAAAGCAGCCATATAGGTTAGCGACACCCTTGGCCAGACTCTGACGGCTCTTTTCTTCATCCCCTGTTGTGCCTTCCCTAGGCTCAGCCCTTCCCCAGAAGGAGGAGGACAAAATGACCAAGTTCAAGGTGAGTGGGGCTTGCCTTTCTGCATTTTAAATTGTCCTCTCATTTTCAATGATTAGACGTCCTGTTTCTTGGATTAAAGAGAACAGTAGGCATTCAGAAACCTCTTAGGCGCCAGATGATCTCTACTTTTCATTTTAGTGTAGTTTCATTTTTGTTATTTTATCACCTTTTATAATTCCACAAATTAGAAAAAGTCAATAGCGGTGAAAAAAACAACTCCCACTTTACCACTATTTTCCTTGCAAAACAACTTTTCATTTTCCTACGTTCTTTTCCTCATATGCATTCGTAACTGTATGTTTGTAATCATTGCTTAGTTAAAATTCTCAAATTGTGTCTTTTCTAATTAATATTATATCCCCTATATTTTTTTTATTTATTTTTTTTATTAATGTTATGATAGATTACAACCTTGTGAGATTTCAGTTGTACATTATTGTTAGTCATGTTGTGGGTACACCTCTTCCCCCTTTGTGCCCGCCCCCCACCCCCCCTTTTCCCTGGTAACCCCGATCAGATCTCCTTGTCAATATGTTAACTTCCACCTGTGAGTGGAGTCATATAGAGTTCGTCTTTCTCTGACTGGCTTATTTCGCTTAACATAATACCCTCGAGGTCCATCCACGTTGCTGAGAATGTATATCCCCTATATTTTTAATGGCAACATCACGCTTGTGTATGTGTCTCAAACTTTTCCCCATTTCTGGATATTTGGGTAGTGCAGAATTTTTACTGTCTGAAAGAACATTGTAATAACAGTTTTCCTAAAGTAACCATTTTCCTCAAAAGGGAATTGGGAAGAGTTCACCATTCTTTGTTGTTAACGTTTTCGGAACTTGAAATTGACAAAGTCCATTTGCTCTGCGGCCCCCTGGGTGTTTCATATGTAGAATATTCAGATATGGCATGGTGCCTGGGTCTAGCGGCTGCTTCACACGGATGAAATATTATTAGATATTTTCACATTAGAAAGCTAGACTGTTTCTTACCCGTATGTGCGTCGTATCATGTCCATGTTTTATTTACTGATTTATATTTGTCACTCGTGTTAATTTATTTTATCAGAGTAATCATGTACTTAATTTAGAAAGTCCAGCAGTACAAGAGGACTTGCCAGATACTTTTCTTTTCTTACTGCTTTTAGTCTCAGACCAACCTTATGAGGCAGTCTTTAGTCTTCTCTGCGTTTTAATTACAGAGTAAGAGATTCTAGAATTTCAGAAAACTGTCTAAGTTCATGCAGGAAACGAAAGATTCAGCTGATCCAAAAAGACTCCTAGGATGTTGGCTTAGATAAAGAGAGCGAGGGAAGGGAACAGAGTTCTCCTGTCGGGGACCTCGTCCATCGTCTGTGGTGCCTAGTTGTCCTGCTCGGTAGTAGACACCACAGATGATACCGCCTCTGCCCGGTGAGTCTTCAGTGGCCCCTTCCTCTCTGTGGACTCGGTTGCTCATTTAGGGCCCCGGGAGGTGCAGGGCTCCAGTGATGAACACAGTCTTCATATGGGAAGTTGAGACAATACTCTACACCACTGATCCTTAGTCATGAGCGATTTTGGCCCCAGGTAACGTCTGGAAACTTCTTTGGTGTCACACCTTGAGGGATGCTACTGGTATCTAGCGTGTGGAAGCCAGGGCTGCTGCTCAGCATCCTGCAGTGCACAGGACAGCCCCCGCGAGATAAGGATCTCGCCCAAAGTGTCAGTAGTGCCAAGGATGAGAAACCATGCTGTACATGAAGCTATACGAGAGCAAAAGCAAAATATGGGTGAAAATATTTATCATGTATATGCTAAAAAACAAAAGCTAAAAATCTCTAATAGAAATTTTCCAGTCCTTATATAAAACCCTGGTTAGAGTATGAGCAAAGAACATTAACGGAGAAGGTACTGAAGAAGAAATAAAGATGGCCAGTAAATATATGCAAATATGATGAGCTTATTATCAAATAAGTAGAAATGATCAAAATAAGTTGTTTTTTTACTGATCAGATGACCTGAGATTTAAAAGCATTGGTTATATTCAGTGTTGTGTGTGGTATGGAGAATCGAGAATGCTTATATCCTTCTGGGGGAGGGCTAACCTGGTGAAAAACTTGAGAAGATCCGCCTCTGTACCTAATAATTTTGCAGTTGCGCATTCTTTGACATTGCAATCTTCACATCTTACGACTTATCCTAAGAAAACAGTTAGGGAGCTAATATCTGTGTAAAAAAGTCGTTTTTTTCAGCATTTATTATGAAAGAAATCTAAAACATAATATACATTATTTGGGATGTTTAACTGTGTTGTAGTAAAATTGGCTCCAGTCTCTTAGAATCTGGAGCCACTTGGTACACCTCCTGTCCCCGTTTCTCAGTGCTTCCCTTCTTCCAGGGGACCTTTGTTGGAAGATTGAGGTTATGTATGCTTGGTGTTGCAGGAGCCGGTGACCTTCGAGGACGTGGCTGTGGTCTTCACGGAGGAGGAGCTGGGGCTGCTGGACGCCACCCAGAGGCAGCTGTACCGGGACGTGATGCTGGAGAACTTCAGGAACCTGCTCTCAGTGGGTGAGGACAGGCGCCGTGTGACTGGACGTCGGCCCCCTGCGGGGTGTGTGTGTCCTTGGGTGCGCGGGGCTTTGGAGCTCTTGACCTGGTTTCCAGTTTTCTAATCAGCATGGAACACAGATGGCATTTTTCTGGTCTTTGCCTCCCAACCTGAAGTGTGTTTTGTAAATGAGCTGTTGATTGACTGCATGGCTGCTATATGTTTTTGGCCTTTCTCAAATTGTTGTTGTCTCCAATTAGTGGGTCATGACCTACATTTAGGGAATTGTGCCAGCACTTTTTTTTTTTGGCGAGGAAGATTGGCCCTGAGCTAACATTTGTTGCAGATGTTCCCCTTTTAGCTTGAGGAAGATTGTCACTGAGCTAACATCGGTGCCAATCTTCCTCTATTTTATGTGGGACACCGCCAAAGAATGGCTTAATGAGCGGTGCTAGGTCCACGCCCGAGATCCGAACCTGCAAACCTCAGGCAACCAAAGTGGAGCACATGAACTTAACCAGTGTGCCACCAGGCCAGCTCCGTGCCAGCATTTTTTAATGAAATAAGATAGTGTAGAGGGGCCAGCCCCATGGCCGAGTGGCTGAGTTCACCTGCTCCACTTTGGTGGCCCAGGATTTTGCAGGTTCGGATCCTGGGTGTGGACGTGACACTGCTCATCAAGCCATGCTGAGGCGGCGTCCCACGTAGCAGAACCCGAAGGACCTACAACTAGAATATACGACTACGTACTGGGGGCTTTGGGGAGAAGAAAAGAGAGATTAACAACTAGTGTCAGCTCAGGTGCCAATCTTTAAAAAATAAATAAATAAGTAAATAAAATAGGGTAGAAAATATCAGAGGCCTTGGCAGTAATGGCACATTGCAGCAAGACTATGGCCTGTTGCCAAAGGATAGTGTGAGAAGTGATGGAGAGGATGGGATGAAAATAAACGTTTTTTTCCAGTAATTTATGCTTATGCCTGCATATCCTGGAGTTTTGCATACAATGTGTTTCCTCTGATGGCTCATAATTAACAGTTTGGAAAACACCCATTTTGATGTCCTGAGGATGATGCAGAGAGCTACAGTCGTTAGTCATTTTGCCTCTAATGTATTCATTTTAGATGTTGGTCCCCGGCTTTTCACAGGGCATCAGTCCGTCACACCAGATGGAATACCCCGGTTAGAGAGAGAAGAAAAGCTTTGGCTGGTAAAGACAGCAGCCCAGAGCCAGAGCTCCTCAGGTGAGAGCCGTGTGACTCCAAGTCTGTCCAGCCTCCTGTCCCCTCCGCAGTGGTGACTCTGGTCCACGTCGGGGCCTCGTCTGCGGATGCCGCAGCAGCCCCTGGCTCCTCCCCGCCTTCGCCTTTGCTCTTTTCCAGTCCCTTCTCCACTCGAAGTGGTTCTTTGGAGTGTTTGTCAGGTCTTGTCGCTCCTCTGCTCAAAACCTCTAGTCGCTTCTTTTCTCATTCAGAGTAAAATGCAAGTACTTAAAGTAGCTTCTAATGTCCACATGGCTGCTGCTCCTTTGTCCCCCATCCGTCTGTGGACACGACCTTCCACTCTCCCCCCCGTCAGTCTGTTCCACCCAATTTTGCCTCTTTGCTATGCCAAGCGTGCTCCCGCTCATCACCGTGTGCCGGTTCTTTCTGTCAGTGCTCTTTGCTCTGTCATCCTCTTGGCCCTCCCTTACTTAATGTAGGCCTCTTCTCAAACGTAGCACCGTAAGAGGGCCTCCCATGACCACTCTGTTCCTAATACCTCCTTCTTCCTCCACTTTCTTTCCCTTCCTTGTCTTACTTGGTGTCTAAGCAGTGACCCCCACTTACCAGATTAACGTATATTTTTGTTTATCTCACTATATTCCCCTTGGAATATAATCTCAACAGAGGAGAAATTCTGTTCTCTTTATTGCTGTATCCTCAGTGTATAGAAAAGACTTGGCAGAGGGCAGGCGTGCTATAAACATTTGTTGAATGAATGAATGAGTTAATAATGGTTCTGTGGACTTTTTTCCATCAGTCGTGGACATACTTAAAGGGTGGTAATCAAAAATGTGTGATGTTAGGGCTGGCCCCATGGCTGAGTGGTTAAGTTCGCATGTTCTTCTTCAGTGGCCCAGGGTTCGCAGGTTCGGATCCTGGGTACAGACCTATACCCCACTTATCAAGCTGTGCTGTGGTGGCCTCCCACATAGAGGAACTAGAATGACTTACAACTAGGATATACACGTATGGACTGGGGCTTTGGGGAGAAAAAAAGAAAGAGGAAGATTGGCAAGAGATGTTAGCTCAGGGCCAGTCTTCCTCACCACAAAAGTATACCTTGAAAAAAAAGAGTTTGATGGAGGCATAGTCTAGAACAGTGTTTTCCCCCCAACGAGTGTCCAATTTTAATTTATCAGATGCTTGTGAATGTATGTAGATATTTGTCCATTAAACCACATCTAATGACAGCTTAGCTTTGCACTTGCAACCAAATTGATTATCATTTTCCCCATGGCTTTCCTGCAGCCTTTAATAGTGAATCATAGTGTTTTGGTAAAGAGCTACTTTTTAGAATGAAGATTCTAATAGTCATGTTATACACATATACCTTTACTGCTTAAAAGCACCTGTAAAATTTTTTGTTCCTGTTAATGCTTGTCACAAGCTACTAAATTTATTTCAAACTCACTGAATCCCGGTCTTCGGCTTGAAAGACAGTGGTGTGGTCCATATAGGAAAATCTAGCAATTTGAGTCTGTTCTCCCAGACAGTGTTATTCCTGAGGTTTTAAATATTGAGTCCTACTTGAAAAAGCAAAAGTTGACACACACAGAAAGGAAGTACAAAAATTGAAGAAGCAGTTGATGCCTAGACCCTATGGCCACTTTTAGGCCTTATCTTTGCCCCCCCCCCAATGATTTTTGCCATCATTTTATGATCAGCGTGATTTTCGCATCAGCAGCATCTGCTTAGTTTAGCCCTGTGTCTGGTGTAGCCTTTCAACTTCCTAGCAAAGTTGCTGTTTCCACTCCTTTTCCTATTAGGGGTAACTTACTTGAAAAAGCTCTCTTACTTGTGTGACATGGCTCAAACTCTCACAAAGAAGTGAAACTAGGATTCATATATCCATTCAACATATATTTATTTGCTTTTTTTTGGGGAGTGGGGGAGGGTGGTGAGGAAGATTGGCACTGAGCCAACATCTGTTGCCAATCTTCCTCTTTTTTTTTTTTCTCTCCCTGAAGCCCCAGGACATAGTTGTATATCCTTGTTGCAAGTCATTCTAGTTCCTCCAGGTGGGATGCCACCACAGCGTGGCTTGATAGTGTGTAGGTCTGCGCCCAGGATCTGAACCAGCGAACCCCAGACTACTGAAGCAGAGCCTGCAAACTTAACCACTCGGCCACGGGGCCGGCCGCCAGTCAACATATATTTATTGAACACTGATGTGGCAGGCATTCTGGGAGTGGTGATAAAGCAGTGAACAATATAAAATGCCTGTCCTTGTAGATACTGCTTTCATGTGGGAAGAGACATAAAAAAGATGAAGGACATATACAGTATGTCAGACGGTAGTATGTGCTAGGTGAAAACAACACAGGGTAAGGTGAGTGGAGATGGCCAGAGCTGTAGAGTGGATAGGGAGAATTTGCTGTGTGATATTGGGTGATAAAAGGCCTCACTGATAAGGTGTTAGTTGAAGAGAGCCCTGAAAAGAACTAAGTCACAAGTTCTGTGGCTAATTGGTGGGACAGAGTTCCAAGGAGAACATAATTCTTCCTGTCCAGCGTTGACTTTGAGAATCAATGCTATGCCCTATTCATTTCCTCCTCACAAGTTCTCGCTCTGTTATAAAAGGTGAGCTTCTGATTTTTTACTTGTTTCCCCCTGGAGGTTATAGGAACTTTACTTGCTGTGGGGTTTTAGAGTAATGTGTGTTCTTACCCTAAACCTCTTCCCCCAGTTGTCCTCCTGAAGGATATTTTCCAGCAGGGTGTGAAGGACCACTCTGCTCACACTGTGAGCTTTAGGAATTTAGGTGATAAGGTGTTTTCTCCCAAACATGTGTCTTTCCAACCAGTCTAATGCCACAAGGGCTCCTGAAATTGGAGTAAACCTCCAGGGAAATAATTCAAAGTGAAGATTTGCAGCATTGCCTGGGGATGTCTTCTGATAATCTCTCTGTAAGGGTTTTACTAGACGTTTTGAGCATTTTGGTGAGATGTGCGTGCAGCGGGCAGAAGGATGTAGAACTATTTGTGAGACGCCTGCTGCAGCCAAAGAAGAAGGGCTTTTGGTAAAGTACAGCTTCGTCTTTGTAAAGGTTCCCTAGGAAGTATTTTTCTTGCTCTGCAGCCACCAAATTTCTAACTGGCAGCTCACTTATGAAGTTTAGTGTGGTTCTGAATGGATCTCGGTAATGTGTAGTAAATGAGAGCCCGGTGGTCTGCTTCTTGGTTTCTGGAGGCAAGTCAACCAGAGAACATGATACATGATGATAAAGAATAATGGAACCTCTTCCTGGTTAAATAAAGCCTCTGCACCTAAGTTTATAACCTTGACATTTCTGAACAAAGCATTCACGTGCCCTATCTCCAAATTCTCTTATTCTTTTAGGAGACAAGAATCTGAATGACATGGAGACCCTTCAAGAAGTTGGATCGAGGAGCCTGCCCCATGAAGAGCTTTTCCACTCACAGATCTGGCACCAGGTTATGAAAGAGTTAACCAGATGTCGAGACTCCATAGTAAATATTCAAGGAACTGGGTCTCACTTGGAAAAACAACATGGTGCACCCTCTAAATATGAGAAATTTGGTAAAGGCTTCAATCGGAGTTCACATCTTCAAGTTCACTGCAGAGTCCAAACTGGAGAAAAACCCTACAAACAAGAGGAGTGCGAGAAAGGTTTCATTCGGGGCTCTCCTCTTCAAATTAACCCAACAGCCCATGCAGGAGAGAAACCCTATAAATGTGACAAATGTGAAAACGCCTTCCGTCGGTTTTCGAGTCTTCAAGCCCATCAGAGAGTCCACAGTAGAGAGAGATCGTCCACATGTGATACGTCATGGAAGGGTTTCAGTCAGAAGTCATTTCTTCGTCGTCATCAGAGAGTCCCCACTGGAGAGGATCCACACGAATTTGAGGAGTGTGGGAGGAATGTCCGGAAAAACTCTCATTGTCAGGCTCCTGTGATAGTCCACTCATTAGAGAAACCCTATAAATGTGGGGAGTGTGGGCTGGCCTTCAGTCAGCGCTCGTATCTTCAAGTCCATCAGAGAGTCCACACAGGAAAGAAACCTTATCAGTGTGAAGAGTGTGGGAAGGGCTTCAGTTGGCGTTCACGACTTCAGGCTCATCAGCGGATCCACACCGGAGAGAAACCCTACAAGTGCGATGCATGTGGCAAGGGTTTCAGTTACAGCTCACATCTTAACATTCACTGTAGAATCCACACAGGAGAGAAACCTTATAAATGTGAGGAGTGTGGGAAAGGCTTCAGTGTGGGTTCCCACCTTCAAGCCCATCAGATAAGCCACACTGGAGAGAAACCGTACAAATGTGAGGAGTGTGGGAAGGGCTTCTGTCGAGCCTCAAATCTTCTGGACCATCAGAGAGGCCACACTGGTGAGAAACCATATCAGTGTGATGCATGTGGGAAGGGCTTCAGTCGTAGCTCAGATTTTAACATCCATTTTCGAGTCCACACGGGAGAGAAACCCTATAAATGTGAGGAGTGTGGGAAGGGCTTCAGTCAGGCCTCCAATCTCCTGGCCCATCAAAGAGGCCACACTGGAGAAAAACCATATAAATGCGGTACCTGTGGGAAGGGCTTCAGTCGGAGTTCAGATCTTAACGTTCATTGTAGGATCCACACAGGAGAGAAACCCTATAAATGTGAGAAGTGTGGGAAGGCCTTCAGCCAGTTCTCAAGTCTTCAGGTGCATCAGAGAGTCCACACTGGAGAGAAACCATATCAGTGTGCAGAGTGTGGGAAAGGCTTCAGCGTGGGTTCACAGCTTCAGGCCCATCAGAGGTGCCATACTGGAGAGAAGCCGTACCAGTGTGAGGAATGTGGGAAGGGCTTCTGTCGGGCCTCAAATTTTCTGGCGCATCGTGGAGTCCACACAGGAGAGAAGCCATACCGATGTGATGTGTGTGGTAAGCGCTTCAGGCAGAGATCATACCTTCAAGCCCACCAGAGGGTCCACACTGGAGAGAAGCCATATAAATGTGAAGAGTGTGGGAAGGTCTTCAGTTGGAGCTCATACCTGCAAGCCCATCAGAGAGTCCACACTGGAGAAAAACCCTACAAATGTGAGGAGTGTGGGAAGGGCTTCAGTTGGAGCTCAAGTCTTATAATTCATCAGAGAGTCCATGTTGATGATGAGGGTGACAAGGACTTAGCCTCATCAGAGAATTCATACAGGAAAGAAGCTCTATAAAATTGTGTGTTTTCATACCTCAATGGGTGCTGAAATAGTCCAATTATCAGAGCTATCATAGCAGACAAAATATTTGTTCCATAAGAGTCACCCAGAGCTTGACATGTCATGGTGGTTGGTTGACCACACAGCAGAGAAGCCTCATGAGAGTGGAGATGAGGAGTTCATTGAGAGCCTTGACATTTAGCAGATGTTACACAGAAGAAGGATGCATCTGATCTGGAGTTAACCAAAAGTACTAAGATGGGAATGCCCAAATTGATTCCACCAGCGTCTCAGCTCCAAGAGCATGGGGACTTTCTTGACTGTCAAATCTACTCTGCCTTTTCAGTGCCTAACACAGTGTAGGTCTTCAGTAATTGTCAAATGAATACAAGGGAGAACAGTCATCGTAGGAATTTTTATTCAGTTCATCTCTGAAAATTGTATAAAATTGTACTTAGAAGAGGAATTCTACCAGCCTTGCAAGGCATTTCTGTTAGACCACATGGGCTCATTTTCCCAACCATGCAGTTTCTGTGAACTAGTGATTATCAAACTCAAATTTGTAGCGCGTTACTGGGTCCAGAAATAATTCAGCAAGTTGTGACCAGGAGTTTTCTATGCTAAAAATTGAGGTATAATTCGCATGCAGTAACATGCATAAATCTCAAGTTTACAGCTTCATGAATTTTGACAAATGCACACACCTGTGTAGTCATTGCCAAGATCAATGTGTACAATATTTCTATTAAAGCAGAATGTTTCCGTGTGCCTGTTTCTAGTCAGTCCACCTCTAGTGGCAATAAGTACCATGATTTCTACACCACAGATAGTTAGGTCTCTTCTGGAGTTTCATACGGGTTCAGTGTATACTCTTGTGTCTGGATTCTTTTGATCAAATATATCATCATCTCAATAGATGCAAAGAAAACATAGGACACGATTCAACATCCATTCATGATAAAAATTCTTCAGTGAGATAAAAGGCATCTGTGAAAAGCCAACAAGCTAACCTTTCTTTTTAAATGATTAGGGAATAGGGGCTGGCCCGGTGGTGCAGTGATTAAGTTTGCACATTCTGCTTCGGTGACCTGCGGTTCGCCGGTTTGGATCCCAGGCGTGGACATGGCACCGCTTGGCAAGCCATGCTGTGGTAGGCATCCCATGTATAAAGTAGAGGAAGATGGGCATGAATGTTAGCTCAGGGCCAGTCTTCCTCAGCAAAATGAGGAGGATTGGCAGCAGATGTTAGCTCAGGGCTAATCTTCCTCAAAAAAAAAGTTATTTGGGAATAATTTATATACAGTAAAATCTACTCTTTGGTACCATTCTGTGTTTTGGCAAATGCTGTCGTTATTACCACCACCACAATCAAGAAACTTAATGGTTCCAGCACCCTTGCCCTGAAAGTCCTCTACCCTTTTGTAGCCAACCCATCGCACCTCCTCCCCCCTGCCTTGGCCACCACCGACCTGTTTCCTCTCTGTATATTTACCTTTTCCAGAATGTCATGTATATGGAATCATAGAGTATGTAATCTTTGGAGTCTGACTTCTTGCACTTAATGCTTCTGAGACTTCATCCATCTTGATGTATGTATCAGCAGTCATTCCTTTTATTGCTGAGTGGCATTCTGTTGGATGGATGCCATAAATGGATTCATTTATCCATTTATGATTTGAGGGATATTTGGGTTTCCAGTTTTTAGCAATTATGAAGAAAGCAGCTATGAACATTCACATACAGGTTTGTACGTCAACATATGTTTTCTTAGTAAATATTTAGGACTGGGATTGCTGGCTTGTATGGTAAGACTATGCTTCATGAAAAACAAAAACTTCTCTAAAATGGATATACCATTTTGCATTCCCACCATCAATGCATATCAGGGTTTTGTTTTGTTTTTAGCATTTCAATAGGTTTATAGTGGTGTCTCATTTTGGCTTTAATTTACATTTCCATAATGACTGTGTTGAGCGTCTTTATAAATGTTTGCTATCCATGTACCTATTGTTTTTGGGTAAAGTATTTCCTTGTTCTTGAGTTTTTAGAGTTCTTTATGTGTTCTGGATACATGTCCTTTGTCAGTCATGTGTTTTGCAAATATTTTATCCCTGTGTGTGGTTTGTGTTTTTATTAACAATGTTTTTCACAGATGGGGCTTTTTTGATTTTTGATGAAGTTCACTTTGGGTCTTCCATGGATTGTGTTTTTGGTTTCAGATATAAGAACTCTGCCTAAACCAAGGTCACAAAGATTTTCCTCCTCTTTTTTAATGTAAAAATTTTATGGTTTCAGGTTTTATATTTAGGTCTATGATCCATGTGAGTTAATCTTTATAAAGTGTGAGGTTAAGGTCCATTTTTTTTGCATATGAATATCCAATTAACTCTGTTCAACGTTGAATTTCTGTTGCCCCTTTGTGAAAAGCCCTTTGCAAATATCTGTGTGGGTCTTTTTATGGCCTCTGTTTGTTTCCATTGGTCTGTGTGTTTTATCATCTTTCCAGCGTGTAGCTTTATATAATGTCTTGAAATCAGATAGTATGAGTCTTCTGACTCCATTCTTCTTTTTCAAAATTATTTTGGCTATTCTAATTTGTTTGCTTTTCCATAATTTTTCAAATCAACTTTGTGGTTTTTAAAAATAAACACTTGCTCAGACTTTTGTTGGGATTGCATTGAATATATGTGGACGAGTTTGAGGAGAATTGACAGCTAACCAGTGTTGACTATTCTCAACCATTGACAATGGTATATCTGCTTATTAGGACTCCTTTTATTTCTTTCATCAGTTATTTGTAATTTTCAGCATATAAGTCCTGCACGTATTTTATTAGACTTATACCTAAGTAATCTGTGCTTTTTGGTGCTAACTTAAATCGTACTATTTTTCAAATTTCAATTTCCAATTGTTCATTGGTAGTATATACAACATATTGTTTTACATTGACCTTGTATCCTACAACATTGCCAAACTTGCCTATTAGTTCAAGTTGTTCTGTAGATTTCTTGGAGTTTTCTGTGTAGACAGTCATGTCATCTAGAAAAAGTTTTATTTCTCCCTGCCAATTGATGTGCATGGTACAGCAACTCCAGTGTGACACAAGGAAGCCACCCCTAACATTAGGTTTCGATGACAAAAAGTCAAGACAGTAGTCCTTTGGTATCATCAGAGGTGGGGGGGAGACTTTCTAGGAGAAGGTCCAGAACAGAGAGACAGAATAGTGTTCAGGCACTTTCTAGAGGGGAAGTCTTGCCTGCACAAAGTTTAAAAGAGGTGGTGTGTAGACCCATCAGGATTCTGAAGACGGTGGTAGACAGGAGCAGGAGATGAGGCTCAGGCTGCTGGCACTAAGTCAAGTGTCCATGTTTCTTTCCTGTGGTCTTCACAATTCACCCATGACATTTGGGCTAGTTTGGCCACCTCCCAGGTTTTCCTGTAAATAAACATGTATTTGAGAGAGGCCACACTTGCAAAGTTGACCCAAAATAATTAGGTCAGCAATTATTGTGCTAGCTCCCTGAAAGATAATGTGGGGCCAGATAACATTAATCTGGGCAGAAGGAGCCAGAAGACATCAATGGGGGTTCAGGAAATCTCTTGGAGTATTTTAGTAATTAGTAAAATCATTGACTACTTTGGTTTGTTGTTTTATCTGTTGAACTATTCTGGAGACCTTTCCTCTATTAGTGACCTACATACAGCCAGAGGTTCCCTTTAAGGTCCACCTTGGGATGCCAGTAGGTAGTCTAATGCATATGTTATCAGCTACCATAGCATCTACAGAGTTTTCTCTCATTAAGGGCTTCTAAATCTTGGGGTGTTTGGTATATGTGGTCTTCCAGGAGTTGTGACATTGTTTGGCTGGCTTCTAAGTGCCAAGTCTGTGCTGTAGAATTGAAAAGACTTAGAATTGTACCTGTTATACCAAAGATTGTGATGAGGCCCAATTTATAATAAATAAAAAGATAGCCTGTGTGTACCCTTTTATGGGAAAGGCATACATCAGTGCGTATATGTTGGGGCCATTTAGTTTCAGTAGTTCTATATAATGTCAATTGTAGGTAGAAGCCAGGAAGGGCATGGGAATTGTGAAGGGAAAGTTAATGAGGAAGAACCTGGTGAGGTTGAAGTGCCAGGGGAAGTTAAGGAGCTGCAAGGTGACCAGAGAGGATGGTAAGTAGTTAATATGGATAGCAAAGACCTCCAAGGATGTGGGGATTAATTGGATAAGTGGTTCCCAGGCTGGGGTTCCTGGTCTCAGGCCCAGCATTGGTTTGTCTTTTGGGTGACGTTTCTGTTACTGTTTTATAGTTCTTATCTGGCAAGTTGAGGAAAGGAGGAAGTGGTGTAGTGATGAGGGAATGGTGGAGAGTGAAGCAGAGATTGTTGGACAAGGGGATTGGAGCTGATGTGGTTGTGGGGGTCACGGTGAAAATTGGTGTGGAGGCAGCTAAAGAGGCAATTATGTCCAGGTCCCAACTGTTGGTCATGGAAGGAGTTGGGGTTTTAGACCTTTGTGCAGGTATAATTTCACCTTTGGGTGAAATTAAGTGGTGGTTAGGGTTTAAGTTGGCTAATTTGCAGGGTATTAGCTTGCACCAAAAGGACAACACAAGAGGAGGGAATAGAAAGGGTCAAGCACAAATCTAAACCTGCTGGGTGTTCCTTGATGCAGTGGAATGGGTAACAGGCAACGGTAGGTTCCTGTGTGCTGTCATTCACCAGGGCTTGGTTAAGTTTAGGTAAGTAAGGGTCTGCAAACAAGCTCTAGCTTCTTGCAGAGTGTGTTTACATTGTGTAGGAGCAGGGAATATGGAGGTTGCAGAGACTTACATAAGCAGGGAGGGTTGGAGCTTCAGTTAAGCAGTCTACAGTCATGTTGATATTGGCTAGGTTGGGAGCAAAGTGTAAGCAAAGCTGCATAGATTGAAACTTTGGGGATAAGCCAGAAGATGAGTGAGAAGAAAGGGCAGTTGGAGAAGTCATAAGGGATGTAGGAGGGGATATGAGTTGAGTGGAAGACCCAGGTGTTGGGCTTGGAGCAGAGGGGGTGTCAGAATCTTTATTCGATGGGCTCTGGCATGAAAGTGTGGTGAGAGGACATCTTAGAGTGTCAGGATCAAGGTTGGAACTGTTGGCTCTGCTGAAGTCATCTTTTGGGGGGTCCTTTGTTCTCCTGGGCTGAGATCCTTATTCCTGAGCTGATGATTGTTCTGTCATCTATGGTAGCCCGGGGACGATACCTGTAAGGGCCTTTGTATAGTGGAGGATGGAGACTCCTAATTTGAGTCATTAGCTAACTCCAAGACCTCAAGGCAAAGTTCTACATTGGAGGATTATTTTGAGAGTGACTGAAGACTGATGGATGCCCTGGGGCACATTTGGCTATATTTTGGGTGGCCGCATATGCATGATATGTTGGATATAAGTAGCCTTAAGAGCTCTGCCCATGCAAGTCCACATTTTGTCTTCTGTCCTTTCTGTGGATAAGCCAAGAGTAGACAGGTATAAATATCAGTCATTGTGAAGGCAAAATTATTTGTGTCAGCACATTGGCACAATGACCCAGTAAAATTAATTTGACAGAGAAGGGTCATTTACCTCTTGGTACAGACCTTCATTGGCCATGACATCAGTTGCCACATTGAGAGGGTAGGGTTGGTGTTAGGGCCAGTGGCATGTTATCATACATTTTGGCTCACAGTATGGAGGCCTGGGGCCCATGATGAGGGTAATACTTAAGTTTATTTGAAAAATGGGAACAAGTTGGACAGCTATGGCATTTAATAGAGCCTCAGCCAGGGTCTTGGTAGGAGTCAAGATGAGAGAATTGTAATACATGAGGTTTGAGAGGCAGTATATTCCCAATGTGGAAGGACCCATAGGGGATGGGCCTATGTGTGACATCTGTTTTGAGCCCATCAACTGGACCAAACAGCCTAGCAGTCTGTAAAAATAAGAAAAATTGACATAATTTTGTTGAGAGTGTCCTTCAGTGCCAAAGTGACTACAGTCAGCTCTGTGAGTTGAGCCAAGCCTTGGATTCATCATTTATCGGGGATGTCCCAGCCATGAGATGGAAAATGGTAGCTCTCCACTGGGCTCCATCATGAATGATGTGGTGTTGCTGTCTGTGAAATAAGCGGACTCCCTTTATACTGGACTCAGCTTATCCCACAAGGGGCCCCACAAATGGCCAATGGGGCTGCGAGGGGGTGAGTTCTCCTGGACCCATGGACTTGGGCAAAGGACAGAGGGCAGGAGAAGCCACATTTGCTTGTAGTTTGGATATGCCTGCGGGTTCAGTTCAAGCTGTAGCCGCTAGGTACTATTTTTATTTAGCAAGGAGGCTTCAGTGGCTGGTTGAAGCTTGTGGAATGTTACTTCTATGACCCTAGAACTTCTAGGCAGCTGCTGTTAAAGGGGCATGGGCTCAGGGCCTGTGATGGTTTCATTCTTAAGTAGGGCCCAGAGCTTAAGAACTTAAGGGTTCTTAAGTAGGAGATAACACTAGGAGTTATCTCTTAAGAGGACCATAACTCTCAGCTGCTGAGGGGAGTTCTTTGTATCAGAAACACAAACAGAGTTGTTGGCTGTCCTGTATGGTCTAGAGAGTCCAAGAGGCCTGAGACTTACGTGCTAGGACTTCCGCCATAAAGGAGTCACCAGATGGAGGAGTGGCATCACTTGTTGGATGGCTTTTTGGGTGGGTCTGTTGTTGGGGTGGCCCCTATTCAAATCAAAATGATTTTTAGTGACTTTTATAAATAGGTTTTAAAAAAACACACATCTATTGTAAAGGGAGAATTGTTGCTGCCAAAAGCCACATGGGACAAGTAGATATTGAGCTTGTTTAAGAGGTGGAAGCAGAAACAGTCAATACTTATTGCTTGACAGGAGCTGACATAGAGCCGCTTTCCATGGGCCAAATTATGCCGCGAAATTTGACAGAGGTGGTAAAACTCTGGATCTTTTCAGTGATGATGGCACAGCCATGATCAAAGTCTGGCAAACATTTAAAATGCCTGGGGCAATGCCTTCCTTTAGACCAGTATCATCCATGAGCGCCTGGGGACAGTGCAAACCCTCGCAAGTCCTGGCTGCATAAATTGTGAACCATGGGGAGCTGCTGAGATAGCCCATAGGCAAATGAGTAAATGTATACTGAGGTCCTTCAAAGGTAAATGCAAATTGTGGCTGTGATGCTGGCGAAATGGGACAGAACAAAACATATTAGCTAGATCAATGACTGGGACGCAATTTCAATGATATTTGGTGTAGCGTCTTAATTGGAGGTAGTGCTGCATTGAGGTTGTGGTAGTCTGCCTGAAGTGCCATTCATTTTTCTTAGGCTTAAGGATGGGCCAAATAGTGCTGTTGAAGGGAGAAATGATGGGAATGAGGACTCCTTTTGCCACCAATCATTAAAAATGGGTCTTAATTCCTTCAGATCTTCTTTAACGGGACATTGTGGGGTGTCTACAAGTTTAATAGGGAGTGGCAGATTCGCTGAGGTCCATTTAGGATGGCCAGTGATAAGGGCATTGGATTTGAGCTTCTGTTTTTTTTACTCCCAACATTTCTGACACCAAATGCGTGGGAGTTTTCCTCACCACTTTCTCCAACTCTCTGACACCACCTGGATATCCAGTGGTTCAATTCAGTTCTGACGCTAACTACCCAGAGTTGGCATCAGACTCCACAAGTTAAGGGCTCGGTCCCACAAGACTGCCCCCACCTCAGCCTTCCATCACAAGTCCTAGGCCTCCTGTGCTTCTGACAGACCAGCTACAAATGGGAGGTTCCCGCTATCCCCTCCGTGGGTTTGCTAGTTTGCAAGAACAACTCACAGAACTCAGGAAGACCGTTTACTTAATACTTACAGGATGTTATAAAGGATACAATTCAGGAACAGCCAAATAGAAGAGATGCATAAAGCAAGGTGTGGGTGGCGGACTCAGAGCTTCCATGCCCTCTCCGGGCATGTCACCCTCCTAGCACTTAGATGTGGTTCCCAACTAGGAAGTTCTCCAAACCCTGTCATTTAGGGTTTTTACAGAGGTTTCCTTGTGTAGGCCTGATTGATTAAATCGTTGGCCATTAGTGATCGAACTCAATCTCCAGCCCGTCTCCCCTCCCTGGAGGTCAGGGGGTGTGGGACTGAAAGTTGCAACCCTCTCATCATGCCTTGGTCTTTCTGGTGACCAGCCCCATTGTGAAGCTATCTAGGGACCCATCAAGAGTTGCCTCATTAGAACAAAAGAGGCTCCTATTGCTCAGGAAATTCCAAAGGATTCAGGAGCTCTGTGCCAGGAACTAGGGTTGAAGACCAAACATATTTCTTATTATATCACAATATCACAGGGCTTAAACTAATATAAATGTCCATTAGTTAGAGCATCTAATCTAAGATGGAGTTGGGCAATTTCATTGGGGCCACAAAAAGTTTATTACTGCCTATAAGAGAGAGGTGTTTGAATTCCATGCACTTGGTGTACAGCGACATTCCTAAAAGTGAAGAGTTTTCCCTTTTCATAATTTGAAGGGTTACCAGGCACCAATGTGACCTGGAATACCATTAATATGGTATTCCATATTAGTAAAATACTTAAAATTTTATTAAGTATTTTATGGGGATCAAAATACCACCAATGAAGTATATCAGGATGTATTTCCAGGAAGTGAGCGAGCATCAAAGACTGCTAGGACTTGCCATTGATGGGCGTTGCTAAAGGGGTTTCTCACAGATACAGGGTTCAGTGAGGCTACGGAAGGAGGGCCTTGGGTAGATCAATGGGTGGCATGGCAGCTGGGGGAGGTAGAGAGATACTAGGATGGTGTTAGGACTGAGTAGCAATTGAATGGCCTATCAGAAGTAAGGCTTGCGTCTTTGAGGTGGACTTTTCCATAGTTCAAATGACTGGGGAGTCTAAAGCTGTGAATCTCCAGTACCAAAAAAACAAAACAAAAAACTTTTGAATGGGATCTTGGTGGGGGAGCCTTGTTTTAGGGAACCAATTTTTATTTTTGTAACCACCACAATAATTTTGAGTTTTATTTGGGCTACTCTGGGATTCAGTTTGGTCCACAGTGGCATCCAAGACAAATATCCAATTACAGGCAGCACCATCGACCAAAAGTCCCAGCTGCTTTGCTCTAAAACAACATTGTTCAGAGGCCAATGTCCCATTGGATGCTCCCAGCTAATGCAATAGGGATCCTAAGCTGGTCCATTTCTGGAGACCAGTACGTCAAGAGTAGAGGTTAACACCTTCTTTGCACATCATTGCCTGTCCAAAACCATTCTACCTCGCTCTTTCTTAAAATTCCCAGTTTTAATTCTCATACAGTCTGCTTATACTAAACATTACCCTCCGTCTTTGAGCTCCCCTATTGCCCCTAAATTATTTCCCAGTTCCTTGCTTTAACTTTCTATCTCGTGGCTCATTGTTTACTCTTCCAACAATACTGTAATAACGGCAGACACTTAGATTTCAGGAAGTCTGTGTCTACCGAAAATTTTCCGCTCACGGATTCAGGAGAGAGTAACGCTAGCCCTCCGTGTAGATATCCATATTACGGCCATGAAGCCAACAAAGTGAACTTTGCCCCCACTGGTATTGTGGGAACTGTAGTCCAACATCTCCGAGGAGTCAACCACTTCCGCCTGAGGTGGGAGAGAATGCGGACGGTGCTCTCCTCTGGCTTTCTGGGAAGTGTAGTCCACCGGCCCCTTGAGCTCCGCACACTTCCGCACAGGCAGCTGGGACAGGGGAATTCTGGGAAGTGCATTCCCAGAGTAGCCTGGGGTTTCGTGCACTTCCGCTCTCGGCGGCCAGGTCGCCGGCATCTTTCCCCTCGCCGCGGTGAGTAGGTCCTGCGTTTCGCTGCCCTTCCCGAACGTCCCTAGGTCCCAGAGGACCCGGACATCGACATAGGGGACAGAAGCTGCGTCCGAGTCGGCGGTTTGAGGGCGGGGGCGGCGGGCGGCGTTCCCCTGGGCGGAGCCTCTTGGCGTTAGGGCTGTGGGTCCCTCATCGCCTGGCTGGAGTCTCCCGCGCTCCCCGCGCCGCGCGACTTCCTCCGGCTCTGCCGTTTCCCGCAGTGGGACGCCGGACAAGCTCGCTGCATTTCTCTGCCTCCGGTGTTTTTCTGTAGAATCGAGATGGCATTGCTACCGTTCTAGCACGGTGGCTTGAGAATAGATGAGATAGCGTAAAGAAAAGTCTCCAGACAGCTGCTGTCACGTGGCGAAGGGTGCCTCTCGTTACGAGTTCTGTTTAGTTTGGGGAAGTGCTCGGTTCCCTGAAAGCCGGGAATCCGGATGGGGGAAGAGCTCCAGCCGCGCTGCCCGCACTTCTCTTTGATCTCTGTAGGAAGCTAGGCTTGCTCCCAAACCATTTCTGGCTGGAAGGGACGGGGGCGGGGGAGGACTGAATATTTCTGATTTCTCAGGGACAGAGATGTTAAAACCAAGACTACAGGCTCATAGTGGGGGCACTTATCCTAAGCCCCATGTCACCAAACTGGGGTTTACCACAAAGACAATTTTGGCTCCGCCAGAAATGGACTCTTAGCAGGAATGGTCTGAACAGCACTAGTTGAGCAATCTGCCCGATGGACGCTGCCATCCCATAAAGGAAAGTGACCTTGCGGTGACCAAGCTGCTTTTTTGGCCGGTACAGCTTCCTTGTTCCTGCTCCCCTTTGCCTATAGAAATCTTTCATTTTGTACAGCTGCTGGGAACTCCTTTCTACCTGCTGGATTGGGTGGTTCCCGATTCATGAATTGTTGAATAAAGCCAATGAGATCTTTAAAATTTACTCAGTTGAATTTGGTTTTTTAGCAGAGACATAATTTGGTATTTCAGAGCCTCCTTTCCTTCTCTGGTCTTCTCAAAAAGCACTGCATTTCTCGTTGCATCCTTGTCACTGAGTGGTTGTATCTGAGATCTGTTGATATCCTCAAAATTATTATGATGAGTCGAAAACACCAGTTCCTAGCTGTTGGTCAGCTATCAGCTGTCATTTTTTTCTTCACACTTTTATCATCTCTCTTTTTTCCTGAAGAATTTGAATTGTGCTGTAGACATGGTACCTCTTTGCCCCTAAATATTTGTGTATGTTTTTTAAGAACAAGGGCATTCTTTTCCATAATCACAGTTTCATGATCAAAACAAGAAAATTAATCGTATTGTTAATACATTGTTCCTAGTCCACAGACCATAATAAATTTGTTCTGTTTTTCATTTAAAATCCTTGTAACTGTTTTTCCCCCCAATTAAGGCCAATTTTGTGGATTGCCTTCTGCTGTCATGTTTCTCCTTTAATCCATAGTCTCCTTCAACCCAGAATGATTTCTCAGCCTTCATTATTTTGTTCACACATGATGTTTTTGAAGAGTGTAGGCAAGTTAATTTGGAGAAAGTCCATCATTTGAGTTTACTGATACATTTCACGATTGGATCCCGATTGTGCATCCTTGGCAGGGATCCACAGGAGTGGTGAGCTGCCCTGTCACTCACCATAAAGGAGCCAAAGGATGTTTTGGCTTTGTATTGGTGATGACGGCTGTGTTCACTTGCCGAAGGAGCTGTCTGTCCATTTCTCTAATGAAGGTACTAGTTTTCTTTTTGTAATTAAAGCTTCCTACGGGGAGACAGACTTATTAGTGGGCTTTCTACTCTAAAGATGAGCTTCCCTTTTCTCCCACTTGTTTATTCATGCACTCAAATATACATGCAATAGGGACTCAGAATCCAGTCTGGTAAGTTTAAATGAGATAGAGCTTATCAAACGATTCTTATAAACAACGTAATTGGCATATATTTTACAGATCAGAATTTTCTCTTTGCATGTGCACAGTTCAGTGATTTTTGTAACATTGAGTGTTGCAGCTATCACCGTAACTCAGTTGAGAACATTTTTATCCCTGCAATGAGACCCCCCCCCTTCCCATTTATAGTTAATCCCTGTTCTCACCCCCTACCCAGGTAACCACTGACTTACTTTCTGTCTCTATGTTGTGAATCTTTTATTTATATGGGATCATACAAGATGTGGTCTTTTTTGACTCACTTCTTTCACTTACAATTGTTTTCAAGCTTCATCCGTGTTGTAGTATATATTATAATTTCATTCCTGTTGCCTGTTAATATTTCATTGTGGCCATACCACACTTTCTCTATCCATTCACCCAGAGGTGGCCATGTCAGTGGTTTCCCGTTTGAGGTTCTAATGAGTAACAGTTTCATGGACACTTAGGTGCAGTTTTTGGTGTGGAGCGCCTTTTGTTCCCTTGCATACATACCCGGGAGTGGAATTGCTTTGTTGATTGGTCACTTTAGGTTTAACTTTCTGAGAAACTGCCCAAACCGTTTTCCAAATTTCTTTTTCCAGAATCTTGTGTTTCCTAAAAAACCTAGAAACTGATATTTTTTAAAAGGAAACAGTTGTCCACAGTGATTTGAAAGTCCTTGCCTAAGGTAACACATTATTAGGGAAGACAATGAGGCAGAGTTAACAGATTTTTCAGAGATTATGAGGGGCCTTCACACAACAGAGCAGTCACATCAGAAGTCCCGCTGTCATGCGATGTCTTGGTAGAAATCACATTTCTAAGAGCAGTTTCATGTTAGAGAGTGTCATCTTTGTTACTACAGTACAAAAATGAGAGACCCAGATGGTAGTCAGAGTGCTGTCCAGCCCTCAGCAGTGCCATGAGTTGAAAGTATTATATCTCATGTGGAGATGACATTGAGGAGAAGACATTAATTTGCCCCAAGATGACAAGCCAGTGAGAAGCCAAGCTAGGATTTGAACCCAGACATCGGTGCCCCAGAGATGCTGGGCACGTTCTGTTGTCTCAATTTCCATCACCTCCGAATCTGAATTGCCACCTTGGGAGACACAGGGCAGCCCTGGAGATGGTGCCAGCGTGTGTTGTGCAGGAGTCCAGGACCCATGTCACGATCTGCTGTTCAGGCTGGTACAGCAGCAGCCACCGCAAGGAAGGGCTCCTTGGCTAATTCACGTAAGCGTTCATGTAGGTAAGCAGCATCCGTGGTCGCCCTTTCATGTCCTTTTTCTGCCTTTCCAGATACTACCAGGCACAGTTCTGCCCTGCAGGACTCCGTGTCTCAGGAGCCTGTACGTCTCCAGAAGTAGGAAGAAAAAATGACCACATTCAAGGTGCATATGGCTTGCCTTTCTTGCTGATAAAATCCATCTCACTGCTCAGAATGCCATGTGTTTTTTTTCTTTCTTGGGGTGACTCAAAGAGAACACGAGGCATTTAAAGACCTGTTTACCTTGTATTTGTTTTTAGTGTTTGTTTTATTGTCATTATTTATTTTATTTCAAAAATAAGTGTGGACAAATTAATAGGAATGACCATCACCAATCCCCCACTTTATTACTTCATTGCTGACACATTAATTATTTAATTAATTAATTTATTTGTTTGATGCTCCAATTACCCAACTCAGGTCAATGGGAGCCCTTTCTCTTTTTTTCTTTCTTTCTTTTTTTTTTGAGGAAGATTGGCCCTGAGCTAACATCTGCCGCCATTCCTCTTTTTTGCTGAGGAAGATTGGCCCTGGGCTAACATCTGTGCCCATCTTCCTCTATTTTATATGTGGGACGCCTGCCACAGCATGGCTTGATAAGCGGTGCATAGATCTGCACCCAGGATCCAAACCGGCAAACCCTGGGCCACTGAAGCAGAGAGTGTGAACTTAACCACTACACCACTGGGCCAGCGCCTACATTAACTATTTTTATTTTCTCATACTCTTTTTCTCTTGTGCATGTATAGCTTTATTAATACTTATGATATACATCTAATATTAAATTGGGTTTTTTCATTTAATATTATGTAACAGTTTTTGTTTATAGTTACATCATACTCTTATTAAATTGATATGCTTTTTTATTTTTAACTACTTGCCACTCACAGACTTGAAGGTGGTTTAGGAGTTCTGTTGTTTTAATCAATAATGCAGTGACAGTTTTCTTACCTGCGGCCTTTTTCTCCAAAAAAATCGCTTCTCCAAACAATCTGCCTAGTTTTTGTCCTCAATGTACTAGAGGCTCAATACTGGAAAAGTAGATTTGAGGGTAGAATATTTAAATACAGCACAGCACAGTTGACTGTTAAATGCTGCTTTACACAAATATTATTGGAGATTTTCACACAGGAAGAGCTAGATTCTGTCTTTCCTGTGTCTGAGTCCTACCCTACATGTCTTTTACTGATCTGCTTTTATTCCTTCGTGCATTAACTAGGTTTTTTTGGAGTAATATATAACCTTAGGTTTGTGTGTCTATTTTAATAGTAGACTGTATTTTTTAGGGCAGTTTTGCATTCAGCAGAAGGTACAGAGAGTTCTCATATCCCCTCTGCCCCCACACATGCATTGCCGCCCCCATTATCAACCTCCCCACCAGAGTGGGACATTTGTTAAAATCAAGGAACCTCTCTCATCACATTATCACTCAGCGTCCATAGTTTACATTAGGTTCACTCTTGATGATGTACATTTTGTGGGTTTGGACAAATGTATAGTGACATGTCCCCGGCATTATAGTATCATACACAGTAGTTTCACTGCTCCAGACATCCTCTGTGCTCCACCTGTGTATCCCTCCCTTCCCCCAGCCCCTGGCAACTACTGAGGTTTTTACAGTCTCCATCATTTTACCTTTTCCAGAGCGTCCTACAGTTGGAATCGTACCATGTGTAGCTTTTCAGACTGGCTTCTACTTACTAATCTGCATTTAGGATAACTCCATGTCTTTTCATGACTTGATAGCTCATTTCTTTCTAGCGCCACATTATGCTCCAATCTGGATGGGCCACAGTCTATCCATTCACCACCTGAAGGACCCCTTGGTTGCCTCCAGTTATTCACTGAGGTCTAACGTTAGTTTAAAATGTCCAATCTTGCTGGATTTGCCAGCACTCAGTTCTGTCTCGGCCTTTACTCCTTAGAGCTGCTAGAAAAGGAGGTTCTTGATTTCATTTTCCACGTAAATATGTAAAGTAGAAGAAGCCTGCTCAGGTTCACACAGGAAACCAAGCAAGACTCAGGAACGTTAGCCATTCTGTTTGAGTGAAAGTGACAGACGAGAAGGTAGAGCCTGCTCAGCGCTGTGGCTCTCCCAGAGGAGGCTGGTTGTAAGATTGAGGTTACATGTGTTTGGTGTTGTAGGAGGCAGTGACATTCAGGGATGTGGCTGTGACCTTCAATGAGGAGGAGCTGGGGCTGCTGGACTCCACCCAGAGGCAGCTGTACCGGGACGTGATGCTGGAGAACTTCCGGAACCTGCTGTCTGTGGGTGAGGACAGCCGCTCTGTGCGTGAACATCAGCCCCCAGGAGTGGCTTTGTATCTTGGGGTTTTCAAGGCTTTGGGGCCCTTGAAATCGTTCCCTGACTTTGGGGATCTGACTTTCCCAATAGATGGGGGACACAGAGTGGGAGTTATTTTGGGTTTTTTCAACAGGCAAGTTTGTGTTTTGTTAAAGAACTGTAAATGGAGAGTATGCTGTTATAACTTAGCTCTTTTTGACCCAGTCATGAGTTATAAAACCAATTTATTGAACCTTACTATCAATTTTTAATGAAATAAAATGTATTAGATAACATCAGTCCTTCTCACACTCCAAAAAACTGAGGAGAAAATATTGCCTACCTGATTTTACATATACGTATGGGTCTTGATGAAGGCTATTTCTTTAAATGGGTCATGAAAAAAAAGTCTGAAAAATGCTGCTTCTGATTACTTGAAAAGTATGCAGTGGGAACCTAATCTTCCGGTAAGTTTTACCTAGAATGTCTTGGTTTTAAGTATGTGACTTTGCCTGTTCACAGGGCATCAACCATTCAAACACGATGTGGTCCACTTAGTCATGGAAGAAAGGCTATGTGTGATGAAGATAGCAATGCAAAGAAAAGAGACTTCAGGTAAGAACAGGCAGCTGCGAGTCCTGGAGCCGCTCCCCCACCTGTTTTACTTCTCTCCGTCCTTAGTCCCATCGCCTTGTTCTAGCTTGCCCGACCTCTTTCCTGGATTGTTACAGCCACCTCATGCTGGTTGCCCTGCTTCCACCCTTCCCATCCTACCTCTGTTCACCGCACAGCAGCCAAAGCGATCCTTAGGGAGTGTGATTGCCACTCCTCCGCTCAGAATCTTTTATGGCTTCTTTTTTCCCTAAAGTTAAAACCACTTAAAGTGGTTCCTGGAGTCCCCTGTGGTCTGCTCGGCATCCCCCACTCTTTCTGAGTACATCTTTTATCCTTTCCCTCTCGGTCCATTTTTCCAGCCACATTGTCCTCCCTGCTGTTTTTCAGACCTGCCAACGATACTGTATACTGCCTATTGCTGCTGTAACAAATTACTGTAAACAACAAAATTTTATTACATTTTAGTTCTTTAGGCATGAAGTCAGACATATCTCACTGGGCTAAATCAAGGTGTCTGCAGGGCTGTGTTCTTTCTGAGCTCTAGGGGAGCATCCTTTTCCTGGGGTTCCCAGTGTCTAGGGCCTGTCCAGTTCCTTGGCGCTTGTTCCCGCTCTTCCGTCTTCGAAGCCAGCAGTGGTGCGCTCTCTGACCATTCTTCCACACTCTTCCTGTACTGCTCTTCTGCCTCTGTCTTCCGATTTTCAGGACCCTTCTGATTCCATTTGTCCCTCTCAGACCATACAGGACGATCTTCCTATTTTTAGAATCAGCTGATTAGCAACCTTAATTGCACTGGCAACCCAGTTCCTTTGCTGTGTAACATACATGTTCACAGGTGCTGGGGATTGGACCTGGGCATCTTTCGGGAACCACGATCAAGTTTACTAGGGAAGCTGCTCCCTCAGGGTCCTTTACTTCTCCTCTCTGCCTGGAATACTCTTTCACCTAAGAGCCTACTGGCCCTCCCCTTCATTCCTTCTCTGCTCACTTTTAACATCATGACAGGCCTTCTGACCACCCTATTTAAAATACCATTCTATTTTTACTCTACTTTCCTTATATCGTATCTCATTTATTTTTGTTTGTCCATCACTTCTCTCCCCCCAGTGAAATATAATCTGCAGAAGAATTTTAATTGTTTTGTTTATTGCTGTATCCTCAGTGCCCAGAATAGGCCTGGGACATGGCAGATATCTGTAAATATTTACTGAGTTAATGGCTAGGCAGATCTTACTGTCTTTCCTGCTGGTGGTGATGCTTTGATAGTTTCTATCCTGTTTATTTTTCTAAGTGTTTATTACAAGCTTTTAAATTTATTTCACGGCTCACAAAAGGCGTGTAGTTTTCAATTTGAAAAACTGATGTGAAAGATCATTTTGTCTAAATCCACAGCTTTTCCACACTTTTCAAAAAGAAAGTCTTCAAAGAGATGATCCAGAACTCTCTTAAGAAACCAGTGCATAGGCCTTCAAGCTTCTTTTTACCCCAGGTCACTCCATGACTCATGGAGACGGCTAGTAAGTGATAAATAAACCAGAGTGAATTAAAGATAGTGCAGAATATTTTTGTCTTCAAATGGCTGCCTATCCAGTTTCTACTTGCTTAGATGCTGTTAGTGTGATTGTGTGTTTGTGTGCACTTGATCCATATCCCAGGGAAACTTCTAAGTATTGTGGCTGTGACCACACTGAGGAACATGCCTTCCCTGTGGTTCTCCTGGAACTGTCCATTGGCAGCATATTCGTTTTTGGGGAGAAGTACTTGGTTTTTTAAAAATTATTTTATTGAGGTCATATTGGCTTAGAACATCGTGTGAATTTCAGATGTACCTTAATATATTTCTGTATAGACTGCATCGTGTTCACCACCTAATTTTAACCCATCACCATACATATGTGCCCTTTACCCCTTTCACCTTCCCCCCGACTCCCTTTCCCTCTGGTAACCACCAATCTGTTCTCCTTATCTCCATGCTTGTTTGTTTATCTTCCACATATGAGTGAAATCATATGGTATTTGTCTTTCTCCCTCTGACTCATTTCACTTAGCATAATACCGTCCAGGTCCATCCACGTTGTTGTAAATGGCACAATTTTGTGGGTTTTTTTATGGCTGAGTAGTATTATGTTGTATGTGTATATATACCTCATCTTCTCTTTATCTGTTCTGTTGATGGGCACTTGGGTTGCTTCCACATCATGGCTATTGTGAATAATGCTCAGTAAACATAGGGGTGCATAAATCTTTTTGAATTATTGATTTCATGTTCTTTGGATGAATACCCAGAAGTAGAATAGCTGGATCATCTGGTATTTCTAAAGAAATACCTTCTTTTAATGGGGATTCTGATGTCTACTCCTAAACAGCTCCCCTACAAATGGAAAAAAAATCTGTATTTCCTGAGCTCTCAGGCAGTAATCACTGTGCAAGTTGCCTTTCGTTTTGCAGCCCATTTGCTCCTTACAAAGTCTACACCCACATCATTGTTGCCAGGTTTCCCCTTCATGTGCTAGAAGTGGGAGAATGAGGATGAAAGTAACACCAGTCCCACAGCTGAATGTTGTCTCTTCCTGATCATCTTTGGTCGAAAATATGGTGTATATTTCTGTGCCTTTATTTTCTACAGATTTGGCCATTAAACAAATGTTAAAGAATAATGATTCACATAATTTCCTTTTATTTTTATAGAGACTTATTGTTCCATTTTCAATTGGTGAAAATTATAACCTGGAAAGTATCAGAAAACTGCCAACTCAAGATTGTCACATCCTCAGAGAGACTTCTCTGTCCTCCCAGAAAAAAAACATTTTAAAAAGTGACACTTTGGGGCCGGCCAAGTGGTTAAGTTTGCGTGCTCCACTTTGGCGGCCCAGGGTTTCACTGGTTTGGATCCTGGGTGCCGACCTAGCACCACTCATCAGGCCATGCTGAGGCGGCGTCCCACATAGCACAACCAGAAGGACCCACAACTAGGATATACAACTATGTATTGGGGGGCTTTGGGGAGAAGAAGAAGAAGAAAAAAGAAGATTGGCAACAGATGTTAGCTCAGGTGCCAACCTTTAAAAAAAAAGGTGATAATTTATTAAATATAACCATAAACTACAGTACCTGCCAAGAAATGCACACTCACCTAGTAGTATTTTTTCAAGGTTCCAGCCTTGGAACTTATTTTTCATTTGAGCAATTTATTTAATTAAGGACTTGCTAAGTTCCTGAACCGAGTTTTCAAACGTTTTAGAGCACAAGCCATACTAAGAGATGCATCTTTCAGTGTAACCAAAAGAAATATTTCACGTGTGTAGATTTATATGTATGACTTTGCAGGACGATTCATGCAATGACCTCATTCCTGTTAGTGATGATGCTCTGAGAGTTTCTATCTAGACTCTTTTTTCCGAATGCTTATTGCATGATTTTAAATTTATTTTATAGCTAACTAAAAGGCTGCAGTTTTCAATCTGAAAACTGATGTGAAAGCCCAATTTATTTCCATCCAAAGTTTTCCCACACTCTGTTTTAACAGAGACAGTCCAGAACCCTCAGAAGAAACCATTACTGAGGCCCTCGTATGTTCTTTCCACCCCTAGTGAGTCTTTCCTTCTTTAATTTTTTCGTCAGGAGTATCACCCTTTGTGTACTCCTGTGGGGTACAGACTTTCAGCTTCACAGCAAAACTGCAGTTTCCAGTCCCTTTTCTATTTCAGATATCTTCTAAGTTACTGTGTGTATCAACATAGAAAAATAAGATGAACTACATGTATCGTGTAGAATTTGCAGGAATACTTTGAATATATAGATATAAACAATTCTAGGTGCTTGATATATAAGATTACAAAGAGTTTAGCCAACTACAAAGTTTAGATGGACAGTTTATACAGACCTCCCGCACTTGGCACCAACTGCAAGTTTGGGGACTTCCCAAAACTACCTTCAGTTTGAATAATTCTCTGGAAGGACTGATGGAACTCACTGAGTGCTGTTATACTCAGGGTTAGTGTTTATTACAGGGAAGGATACACCTCACATCACCAAGAGAAAAAGCACACAAGAGGGAGTCTAGGGAAGAACCAGACGCAGAGCTTCCATTGTCTTCTCTCCATAGAATCAAGGACGTGTTACTGTGTTACTTTACAACGTGAAGATGTAAAATTGTACACAGGGTATTGCCAGTCAGGGAAGCTCACCTGAGCCTCTGTGTCCAGAGTAATTACCGGAGCTCCATCACATGGCCAGTGTAGATTGAATAGTTTCATATGGTTATTCTCAGTCTTCTGGTCTACACCATTGGGTAACTGAAAACCCCACTTGGAATCATAGTCTCGGTCTTTCCAATGTGGTCAGTCTCCTCCCTAAACCATATTGTTATTACATATCCAGTGTGACCCAAGACCCTCATGTGCTCTGTTCACACATGACATTCTGCAGGCTTGGAACTTATCTCTCAGATGTCAAGAGCAAAGGCCAAGCCAGCCCCCTTGTTTGGTAAGATTAAACTCTTTACTCCCTAAGGATAGCTAGCATAAACCCAAATATACAAAGTATTGATTGTGTTACTGCTTTTTCTTAAAGTTTGTGTTGATTCATACTTCATTGTGTATATAATTTTTTTGGTGCATAATTTACCACCCAAGAGTTTACACTGATTATGAACTTCAGTCGAAATAGCAACAGATTAACATTATGTATCATATTATCATTTTTATTATTAAGTCTTTGATTTCTAACATGTGCCTCACATATGAGACTTGGTGTGGTTCTAAATTGGTTTCATTGATGCTTAGTGGATAGGAGCCTACTGGACTACCTCTTGGTTTCTGTAGGCATGTAAACCAGAGATCATGATGTACCTGAAGGACATAGTGGCCATTCCCTGGATTCATTAAAGTGTCATGCCCTTTCCTAAATGTGAAATCTTGAAGACACTGAACAAAACCTTTACTTGTCCACATCTCTGCATTCTCTGTTCTTGTAGGCAAGCTCCAACATGAGCTGGAGACTGTTCCAGAAGCAGGACCACACGAAGAACTTTCCTGCTGGAAAATCTGGCAACAAATTGCAAGTGACTTAACCAGGTGTCAAGATTCCATGATAAAGAGTTCTCAGTTCCCCAAAAAAGATTCACCCGGCCAGCTTGGGGTAGGACTATCTATAACTCACACAGGCCAGAAAACTTACCAGGGAAATGAGTCTAAAAAATTCTTCAGTGATGTCTCCAACTTTGATTTTCATCAACCGTTAACCTCAGGAGAGAAGTCTCATACATGTAGTGAGTGTGGAAAAAGCTTCTTTCATAACTCAGCACTTTGTATTCATCAGAGAGTTCACATGGGAGAGAAACGCTATAAGTGTGGTGAGTGTGGTAAGGAATTCAGTCAGAGCTCACGTCTGCAAACTCATCAGAAAGTCCACACCATAGAGAAGCCATTCAAATGTGAGCAATGTGGGAAAGGCTTCAGTCGCAGACCAACACTTACTGTTCATTGCAAGTTACACTCAGGAGAGAAACCTTATAAGTGTGAGGAATGTGGGAAGGCCTTCATTCACGCTTACCATCTTCAGGACCATCAGAGAGTCCACACTGGGGAGAAACCATTCAAATGCGATATATGTGGTAAGAACTTCCGTCGTAGATCAGCACTTAATAGTCATTGCGTGGTCCACACAGGTGAAAAACCGTACAAATGTGACGAGTGTGGGAAGTGCTTCACTTGGAGCTCACGTCTTCATATCCATAAGAAAGTCCACATGGGACAGAAGCTATACAAATGTGAGGAGTGTGGAAAGAGCTTCTTTTCTAGGGCAAATCTTTATTGCCATCAGAGGATTCACACAGAAGAAAAACCCTATAATTGTAAGGAATGTGGCAAGAGCTTCAGATGGGTTTCACATCTTTTGACACATGAGCGAGTCCACAGTGGAGAAAAGCCATTCAAATGTGAGGAGTGTGGGAAGAAATTTGGTCAGAAAGCACACCTGCAAGCTCATCAAAAAGTCCATATTGGAGAAAAACCATACAAATGTGAGGAGTGTGGGATGGGCTACAAGACGAGCTTGGATCTTGACATACACCAGACTGTCCACACAGGAGAGAAACCATATACATGTAGGGAGTGTGGTAAGCACCTCAGTAAGGCCTCAAATCTTAAACTTCATCAGAGAGTCCACACCGGAGAGAAACCATACAAATGTGAGGTGTGTGGCAAGGTCTTCAGTCAGTGTGCACATCTACAGTCTCATCAGAGAGTTCACACAGGAGAGAAACCGTACAAGTGTGCGATATGTGGTAAGCACTTCAGTTCAAGTTCATATCTTAAAATTCATCACAGAATCCATGTTGGTGATAAATTTCATCCAGCCTCATAGGAGGGAAAATGTTGGTTTCATTAAAGTGAGTGTTTCGACTGTAGCTCAGCATATCCTGGTGATCCCAAGACGACACAAGTGGAGCAGTAAGGGTTTCATCAGAACCTTCACAATTATAGTCATCACTCAAGACGCAGGCCTTAGGAAGAATAATTTGTTCAGGTACTTAGAAAACTAATGATGGGCATTAAATTTGATGTCCACTAGAATGTAAGCTCCATGAGGGCAAGGAATTTGCTGCTGAATTTACACATTGTTACACATTAACATTGATCAGCACTTTATATGTGTGCTTAGTACTTGTTTGTTAAGTGAACCAAAGGGAGAAAATGTACAATATTTAAAAATTGTATCTGGAAGAGGAAACCTGCAAAAAATAAACTTAATTCAGAGAAATAAACATGAGTTGAAATGCAAAAAGACACTGGGCACTGCATTCTACAGCATTATTTTGGTAGTATTGTACTGCCGTTGGCTCCTGGCCTACCCCAGCATCTGTTCTGAGGTTGGGTTCTTATTATTTGGGTCTCTATCAAGGTTCCATTGATATATACAGTATAACTTCAACTCTTTTGTCATTTTTCTCACAGTACAGACCGAAACAGTTTTGACTTTGCACTAACCGGGTCTGCACATATCAAAATTGGAATTTTTCAACACTTAAGGCAAGGGTTCAGAGTAACACATTCAAGGTGTCAAATTTTGTTACCAGTGATGAAAATTTTCTTAGTTAATCTTGAATTCATTATTAATTTTTAAGTTTCCATGTAGGCTTTGATATGACTGCCTTCTAATTGTAGTGTTTCTTTTATCTAACGTCTCTGGTAGAGGCTATGCCAAATTTGAAGGGCATTTAGTTTGTCAACTTCTATATTCGTCCCTTATCCCCATGAAATAAATACCAGGAATACTTGTTGGGATTTGATAATTTCATCAAATGTATTCATTACTGGTGTGGGAATGACATTTACATGCTTTTCTTTTTTGGTAAAAACATCTTTTGAAAAGCAATATATAGCAGAATATGTAAGGTGCAACTCTGGTCTGGAAATCATGGTATAGGAATGTAGGATTATGAGATTCAGACAAAGAAAAGGTGAATACTACCTCGATAACGCCACGTAACTTTTAAAATGGAAATAACAAGTGTCCATCAATAGGAATTTGTTTAAATTTTATATATTCCCATAGTAACGTGGGACCATTAAAGTGATGACAAGGATATGTAATAACAGAAGAACATAATTTGGGGTTTGTGAAATCAGACTGTGGCCTTCGTAGTATAATCAAATTCATAAATCTCCGTGTGTGTGTGTGTGTGTGTATGTTTTGTGTGTACACATACATAGTGTGGAAGGAGATAGTCTTATTAAGGATCTCTGGCAAGGAGTATTTGGTGGCATTTTCCATTTTGTAATTCCATTAATTATGTGTTTTAATTTCCCAGTGAGCATCAATTTGATCAAACTGGTAAATTATATACAATAGAACTTGAAAAATTGTTAATTAATATGAATCCTTTACAGTTAAGGGCTCCTAGTAAGGTTGCACTACATTATCTTATGACATATAAGATCAAAGTTAAGAAATAGGACTCAACAATATTCAAAAACAAAAAATTCTCTGTTTGAATCACAGATAAATTAATGAGTGTGATCAGCTATCTTTGCTGTTAGTGCATCTGATGCGTCTTTAGGTGTCAGCCGAGGAGAGGCAAATACTGGAGATAGAAATAAAGTGGGTATACATATGTCATGGAGTTATCAAAAAGACTGAAGAAAACGTGTGTGTGGGTAGGGAACATAGCATGATAGCAGCAGTGCCTCTAAGGAGAAAGCAGCTTTGGATGCCATTCCACACTTCTTGGACACTGTGGTGATATCTTTTTTAAAAAATTATTTATTTTAAAAAAGTTTTTGTTTTATTGAGGTCATATTGGATTATAACACTGTAATTTCAGGTGTACATTGTTATGTATCAGTTTCTGTATAGACTGCGTCACATTTGCTACCAATAGTTTAGTTTTTATCCGTCAGCATACACATGTGCCCCTTTACCCCTTTTGCCCTCCCCCAACCCTCTTCCCCTCTGGTAACCACTGATCTGTTCTGCTTATCCATGTGTTTGTTTATCTTCCACATATGAGTGAAATCATATGGTGTTTGTCTTTGGCTTATTTCACTTAGCATAATACCCTCAAGGTCTATCCACGTTGTTGCAAATGACATGATTTTTGTCTTTTTTATGGCTGAGTAGTATTCCATTGTGTATATATACCAAATCTTCTTTATCCATTCATCCATTGATGGGCACTTGGGTTGCTTCCACATCTTGACTATTGTGAATAATGCTGCAATGAACATAGGGGTGCATAAGTCTCTTTGAATTGTTGATTTCAAGTTGTTTGGATAAATACCCAATAGTGGGTTAGCTGAATCATATAGTATGTCTATTTTTAATTTTTTGAGAAATCTCCGTACTATTTTCCATAATGGCTGCACTAATTTGCATTCCCGCCAGCATGAGAGTCTGGGGTTCCCTTTTCTCTGCATCCTCAACATTTGTTTTTTTATCTTGTTAATTATAGCCATTCTGACAGGTGTAAGGTGATATCTCATAGTTTTGATTTGTATTTCCCTAATAATGAGTGATGCTGAACATTTTTTCATGTGCCTGTTGGCCATCTGTGTATCATCTTTGGAAAAATGTCTGTTCATGTCCTCTGCCCATTTTTTGATTGGGTTGTTTGTTTTTTGTTGTTGAGTTGTATGAGTTCTTTATTTTGTAAATGAACCCCTTTTCGGATATATGATTTGCAAATATTTTCTCCCCAGGTGATGGGTTGTCTTTTCATTTTGTCCATATTACCTAAAGCAATCAACAGATTCATTGCAATCCCAATCAGAACCCCAATGACATTCTTCACAGAACTAGAACAAAATATCCTAAAATTTATGTGGAAAAACAAAAGACTCCAAATAGCCAAAGCAGTCCTGAGAAAAAAAGAACAAAGCTGGAGGTATCACAATCCATGACTTGAAAATACACTACAAAGCTATAATAATCAAAAGAGCATGGTACTAGCACAAAAACAGACACATACGTCAATGGTCAGAATTGAAAGCCAAGAAATAAAACCACACATTGTGGACAGCTAATCTCTGACAAAGGAGCCAGGAACCTAGAATGGAGAAAGGAGATTCTCTTTAATAAGTTCTGTTGGGGAAACTGGACTGCTATGTGCAAAAGAATGAAAGTAGACCATATCTTACACCATATACAAAAATTAACTCAAAATGGATTAAAGACTTGAATGTAAGACTTGAAACCATAAAACTCTTAGAGGAAAATATTGGCAGTACCCTCTTTGATATCAGTCTTAGCAGCATCTTTTTGAATACCTTTTCTACTCTGGCAAGGGGAACAAAAGAAAAAATAAATCAGAGTGCATCAAATTAAAAAGCCAAAAGTTGATATTTTAAGTGTATTAGGTTAAAGGACTTAGCAAAGTATATCTAATAGATTCATTTTCATAATTGCTTCCTGGGCTATATCTCCACACGATACTGGGTGCTTGTTAAGATCCATGCTGTCTCAGTTTGCATAGTGGTTTGGGGGTCCCTAAGACCACCTTCACACTCTGTGATTTGCTTGGAGGACTCAGAATATAATTGGATTGAGGACTGTATTACAGGGAAAGGAAACAAAGCAAAACCAATGAAAGGGGAAACCAGGCACGAGCTTCTGAGAGTCCTCTCCCCATGGTGTTCCATAGGACCCATTAAACTCCACAAGCACTGGATTATGACCACACGTGCAAAGTGTCTATGATAGAACCTTGTTAGAGACCAGTACCTAAGGTTCTTGCTGGGGGCTGGTCATGTAGGTACCATCTGCTTACCACGTAAGGAAATTCCAGTCTTCAATAAGGAGAGCAGGTGTTCAGAATAAGTCACGTTGTGCAGTTTAGGCACAGTGAACAGCTCTTAAACAGTTAGGGAATGGTGGAAACTCTTCCCAAATTCATGTTGCTTGACACCCGCCAAAGTCCAGCCTTGCAAGCAGACCATTCTGAGGATCGTGGTCTCGGGACTGCTATATTAACTTTTCTGCACACTTAGTATCAGAAATCTAGGACTTGTCTTTTTTTTTTTTCTTTTAAACTGTCACCAAAGACTGGATTAAGTCATCTCCAAGGTAACTAACAAACCTCAGCAGATTAAACCAAAAGTACTAGTCTCCTAAAATTGAAAAGACCACAAGTGTGGCTTACACCTAACGTGCATGGCGTGGGTCCTCAAGGTGGTCCCAAGATAATGGTAACACTTGCGATGAGCTGGCTTGTGTTCACGATTATGTCTCCCAGTGTGCACAAGGCCTAGACTCCCAACCACCCTCAATATTAAAGCTCGAGCTCTGGATCCAGTTCCCTAAGCCTTTGTGGGACCTTTCAGGTTCAGCTCCCACTTGTCGCCATCAACTTCACTTCCTTTTCTTTTGTGGACCCTGGGGATTTCCCTATCTTAGTTTTGAACTTGGCTACATATGGTGGGGACTGTTAAAGACCATCGTCCTTTCTCTGCAAAAGGAGAGAGTCTTCCCAAGTTATTAAAGTCTAACCATGTTGATAGGATATCTGTGTAAAGATTTGAGTTCAATACCACGTTGTCTCCTTTTTTTGACACACTGATTCTAAAGTAATCAGTCTCAGAAACTCTGTCTTACTCATCTAGAGATTTGACATTTTGTTACATATGTCGTGTCTTAGTACAAATATTTAATTCTTGAGAGTTTTTTAAAATTTTCAAAGTATAAGTTTGGTATTCTTTTACTTAGAAGAATAATGCCTGGACATTGAACAACAGTACAGGAAAGGCCAAAGGAGAAGGTGGAAGATAGTAGGAGCTCACCACTATTCATATTTTGGTGAGCATGCTTCAGTGTATTTATGCATATAAGTAACCGTTGTTTAGAATTTTGCAAAACTAGGAACACAATGCATACTATTTTCTAACTGGAGCGTTTGGCTCATTGAAACAGTTGTTGAAGGCCATTTCAAGAAAGTGAGCTACAGCCTCATTTCTAATGCCTGCACCGTATTCTGGTGTACTCAGTATCATTTCCTTGACCAGTTTCCTATTGATGAAGATGGGTGTGATGGTCAATTTTATGTGGCCAACTTCACTAGACTACCATCCCCAGTTATTCAGTCATACAGGAACCTAGGCGCTGTGAAGGTATTTTGTAGATGTGATTAAAGTCCGTAGTCAATTGACTTGGTGTGAGGGTATTATCTTGGATCACCTGGGTTGGCCTGCTTCAATCAGTTGAAAGTCCTTAAGAGCAGAGCTAACACTTCCCTGAAAGAAAACATTCCACCTGTTGGTAGCATCTTGAGTTGATGGCTGAGAGGTCCACTTTGGCCTTCCTGATGACCGGCCCGAGGATTATGACTTGCCAAGCCAGTCCCACAATCGAGTAAGTTAGTTTCTTGCAATAAATCTCTTGTATCATCTCCTTATCATCATTTCTTTGGTTGAACTTTTACCAAAAAAGATTTTTCTTCTGAGCATCCTAGAGGAGCAGAATGTTAAGGATGAGTTTTCTGAATTGATTCTGTGTTTTCTGGAATTGGTTCTCTAGTCTTAGCAGATTTAAAGTCACTAATGACTCTGCTTCCCATGGAAAATAGGGCATTGATAGTCAGTGGTAGGA